CCGTGCATTTGCCCCTTTTTCGAAGAAATTCGAGCTTCTTAATAAAGTTTCAAGCTTGGCCACTCGAAAAATCTGCCTCTTACCTCTGAAACCAATTGAACAATCTGTGATATATCAAAAAGTGATCGTCCATATACAGCCATTATTATCATTCCATTAAGAAAATTACTCGAATATCAAACTGAAATGTTTTAAAAAATCTTACAAATTATCACTGACTGTAAAATAACATGCCAAACAACAACCTCTGACAATCTCTTTGCATTAATGAACATTTAATCTAATTTTTAAATCTATGATAATTTTATGATCCTCCCCCAAAAAATTATTAATATTAACATCATTAAATCGTTGTACTCTTTCATCTCAATCTCCACATTATTATTAGAATAAAGAATCTTCTAATCCCTCAGGAAATCATCTACAACCAATTCTTTCTTCAACAAAGAGGGTTCAAATAAACATTCTTCGACAGAGCATCGACCCTCAAGAATGGAGTCCACTTCAAAGCGCATCATCGTGGATATGATTAGCAGAGATTGGCATCGTTCACGATACTATTCGCGTGATTTCCAGCCACTTGTAAACCCGTACTACACCCCTGGAGGTAGCCACGGAAGCGATTTCGTGAGTAACAAGTTTCGCATGCTCCACTTTCCCGACTCTTCTTCTCAACCCCCATTGTTCCATAACACGCGTATACGTGTTAATTCACATACATTTGAAACGTCGTTTCGAAAAGATGAAATTTACAAAAATATCGGTTCATCATTTAATATTTAATAGCCTATGCATCCATTTAAATGTGGAAAAGATTTACAGGATATGGATGATTTCATATTTTCATTTCTTTTCATAATTAATAATCAGAAGTTGAATATGAAATGAGATGGAGAACAGAGATGTTTTGTTCTCTTTTAGAACTCTTTAAACGTTCTTCACATTTTTTGTATATACTCCGGTTTCTTTCCGGATCGATCCTCGATATCTCTTGCGAATACGCAAACATCCTGCATATCAGTGCACCCTTTTGGATTGGCGATGAAAGTGGTTTACAGGAAAACGAGCTCCGCGCCCTATCTCGTCGCAGCACACTTTTTATATATCGAGAATGGATGCACGAGATACACACTTCCGTTAACATTGTTTCCTTACGGATCCTGCTAGATTAACTCGAAATTAATGCGAACGGGGGCAAGCGCACCGCGACGTCTCCTCATTTTTCCCCCTCTCAGCTCCTGTCTCCTTCTTTTTATAGTTCCTTTGGAACGATAATAGCCGTGGAGAAATTGAATCGCCACTTTTTCGAAGAACCAGTGTATCGTGGAGTCCGTACCTAGGTACGTGTATACGCATATATAGATAGATTTGGAAATAATAGGTCGTTGGTGTGGGGAGAGGGTCGATAAACTGAAACGTGTAAGGAAAGCGGAGTGTGTGCAAGTATACGTATGAAAATATTATCGATATCACGCTTTAGACGGAGAAACGAGTATGGTGTGTTCTTTTTATCTTTGTCGCCAGAGAGAAACCTGTATAAATTTATTTATTATTTATTCTTACTCTCGTGAAATTTACTTTTTCTTGTCGTCCATGTTTTTTCGTACGAAAGATCGAATACAAATATTCGATCTCGTCCAATCAAGATGATAAAGATAAAGGGATTGAATAGGGCGTCGCGGATTCGATGAAATTCTTTTCTTTTTCAAGAGAGAGAGATAGAGAGAAAGAAGAGGAGAAAACGAATCGATGGCCGCGTTGTTAAGCGGAACGTGGTAAATGAAGAGAGAAAGAAGAATAGCGCGGTGTAACGCGCGTTGCAGCCGGTTTCCTCTTAATAAACGGGATTGTTTTCGAGCCTACGTAGAGATGTTAATGCGGGGCATGTTAATCCGTCGCGGTATAATTGGATCCGGAGGTGAATTTGACCGCGAACTTCTGCCGCGAGGAACACGAAAGCGTGGATTATCGAGGAATGGTTGATTATTAGGGATGGTTGGATCAATGGATTACCAATTTTTATTCGCGTCTCCTCGAAATTTCCTTGCATTCAATTTAATTAAAGGATGATATTCGTTCTGGAAGAATTGAATGCGAAGTTTTTACGACGATTTTTAAAATACGACGATTCTCAACGATGATGATGTTTCCAATTATACGCTATATATATTTTATTTTAAAGAATTTAATTACGATGATGTTCGATCAATTTCTCTTTCCACGTTATTTTTATTAAAAGAAATATCGATAAGTAATTGTGCATGTAGTGGAATATTGATATCGATATTATATTACTATGTTACTATATGTTATTGATATCTTAAAGTATCCTTTTTTCAGAGGTAGATATATAAGCAACAACAAAATATCGATTTATCGATTTAAAATCGATTCGAAACCCCTTTCCTTACTCCTCCGCATAAAAGCGGGCCTCAAAATCGGAACAAGCGAGCGAGCAGCAAGATTATCATGGGTTACATTCCAGCAAACGATCGCAAGAATATTTCCTGAGGAAAGGAAAAGGGGCGACGAGACTTGGAATAATTTCCACGGGCTTGAAACTATCGTGGTAAGTTGCCGCCTCGAGCGATAATAGGAAACAGGCGAAAGGGAGCCGACAATATGGCGGATAGAGACATTACTAGCTAGCACTTTAGATAAGAGGTTAGGTTCAGGTAGCAGTTCTTAGTCGCTCGCCCTCGCGCTCCATCGATTTCTCTTTCCTTTTCCTTTCTTTTTTCTTTTCGTCTCTTTTCATTTTTCTTTCCCTTCTCCCTCCTCGATGATCCATACGCCGCCCTCTAAATGGACCGTGTGATCCCTCGCCGATCTCGGTCGCGAGCTCGGCTAGCTGATTACCGAGCAGACGCTTCACGCTTCGTTTCCCGCCAATTGCTTCCCTATTTCGTCGAGGATCGTACGAGGTTGACGGTGCCAGACGCTTGTAATTTCACGCCGCTGCGTGCTCACCTTGGTTTCTCGCGTATTCCGCCCGGATTCCGAGCCGATCCCGCTTTTTGCCCAACCGATCGCGACGCCTCGAGACGTTTTTTGATCCCTTATCGAGAGAGATTCTATCTCTTTTTCAACGGTTGAATCGTGTTGTTGAATCCCCCTCCTTCCAAGGTTTCATAAATTATATCTTATAAATTATCTTCGCAATTTTTATAATCTTAGAAAAGGATCTTTGGATTGATTGGTTTTGGGTTTGTTCGATCGAGTTAGATTCGACTGATGGATATCGTATATAAGGAAGTGCGTATTTCTTGGAAAAAGTATTGGACGGACAAGTATTGGTAATTGTTGTCCAAACTTAGTTCTTAGAGGAAGAGAAAAGAAAAAAAAAATTGGATTTTTCCCTGGTGGACGAAGTAATCTTGGATGGGATCGATCCAAGGCGAAGGCGAAGGCGAATATCATCAGCCTAGTGGTAACTAAACTTCCAAAGAAGTTCATTTCTATTCATATAAGAGTTGGGACACTTTTGTACTTTGATATCCGGGGATAGCATTGATCATCTTTTTTTCAAGATTGTGCACAGTCTTTAAGCCAATGTTTGAAATATTCTTTCTGAATAGCAAACTATTGCAAGTTTGCAAATAAAGGTTATAGGAATATATTTGTTTTATATTGAAGAAATTTTTATAATTATTCATTGTTCATAATGATAACATAAAATGATTTTATTGTAAATAAAAATTGCGAAGAGATAGATGTAATTGCAAAAAGTGCTTACGTGATGGAACAAAAATATTAATTTATGAATCAATATGCGTTTTATCTGAAACGAAAAAAGTAAAATATGTAATATTTGTTGTTTGTTAAATTCTTCTTAATCGAAACAAAAGAAAATATATTTCACATTTTAACATTTATGTGTAATAGATAATAAACATTTGAATGATAATAACACGTCATTGAAATTTTCCTTCTCCATTTATAAGAATTATGAAACGATCATAAAGAAGAATAAAAAATACTTACTAATGAAACTCATTGTTATCCTTTTTATAGTTTTACAGTGTTCATGAATGATTTTGTCGTTCTTATTATGTTTCTTAACGAGTTCCAATCATTTTTAATTTCATCATAAAATTAAAGCGGAATCTTTTTTCTGAATAAATTTAAATTTTAATATCTCAATCTATGAAATAGTTACACAATTAATAATAATTGTAACAAAGATCAACACAGATCATAAGAATTCGATTAATGTTGTAATATCGAAGCCTTCCATTCTTTGAAGAAGTTTGAATGACAGCCATACAAATGAACATCCTACTATTTCTCTCCTCTTTTTTCCTCCCTCATCGAATATTCCCATAATTTTTCCTTTTCTTGAATATTTTCCATATTTCCGATCACTATGGAAATCAAAAAGTAATAAGATTGACATTTCGCGTGACAAATAAATGGACAATGGCTATACTATGGGGATAAAAATATTATAATTTCAAGCTATAAATGTTTAGCTGAAATCTGTAGTATATTTTAATTCTGAGACAATAATTTTTAATTCTAAAGAAAATAAGAATTTCTTTCTTATGTTTCTTCGATTTTTCTATAATTCCACTTCTATATTTATTACTTCTATAATTAAAGGATATTAATATGAGTAAGTATACATTTTTGAATGGAGAGTGGAAAATAGACAGCATCTTAGACACATTTACGTTGAAAGGATATTCGATTATTTTGTATGTCTTATGGTATATCTAAAGAATTATATTTAGCATATCGCCATTTTTCTAATGAATATTTAATCGAATTTCCTTTTCGAATAAAAGATTTAATACGAGTACTAAATTACAAGCATATATCACGAAAGTAGACTTATTTTACTATTTCATTTCATTAATATCTCGTTTTTCATCTTTTAGCTTCGTTAATTGCATCGTTATATTTGTGTAATAGGTACATGTCATTATGGAAATTTAATGCCGCCAATTTTCCTACCGTCTGTGTTTTACGCATGGTCGTCCCCACCGTTTCATTCGTTCATTCTCGTTTCAACGTGCAACAAGTTGCAACCCTATTCTCACCAGCGGGATGCGTACAGTTCCTACAAACCAGTGCTGTTCAATCTGTCGTGTTATGGACATGGATGACCGCAGACAATTGCTGAGAGTAATATTGAGGCAAAGATATGAGCAATGAAACTAGTGGAATACTTCAGATTTCTCTTCTGAGTCCTCTTTCTTATTTTACGATAGGAGGACTTGAAATTTTAGCTACTTGGCCTATTGCATTAAATTTATAGACAATGCAGAAAAATTAACAAACTTAAAACTTCAGGCTTACTGTAATAGATTGTCTGTGGCTAATGCTGAGAACAAAGTATTGGTAATTAGTGAATTTTAGGTAAAGATATAGATCTTATATTATCTTAAACATCTATTTGATTTATTGTATAAAAAAAAAATATATATATATAAAAATAGAAGTTGTGGTATTAAAATTATCATAATTTTACCTGCAATTTCTTGAAGATGCAATTTATGATATATCATTTGTAATTTAATCTTAATGATACTGTAAAAATTGATATTAATTAAAATAAATTATGTACAAAATATATTTTATAAAATTTGTATCAAAAATAAATTATTTTGTGGTACATATACAATATTTGTAATAATTATCAAATTGTTTAATAGAATATATTACCTTGAATTCTGATGAAATAATTATTTTTAATCTAATCAATATTTTCCCCACTTTCGTGTCTTCATTATTTTTTCAAGAAATTCCAATTAATTTGGACATGATAGAAGTAGTTTTTTCAGATTGTATTCTTGAAAATCAAATTTGCATTGATAAAACAAATACATATGACAGTTCACAACATCGAATACGAAAAATCAATCAATAAAACAAATACCTGAAAAATAAAAACAGTTACGAAGAGAATAAACACGTAAATGTTAGCTTCGATCTATTATACAGTCACAAACCAACAAATAATGAAAGTTGCTGATTGATATTATTCTTTCCCAAGGAAATCCATGGAAATCCATTGGAAACTCATAAACATCTGATGCTCGCGAGATAACGTAAAAATTCATTTCAACTTTCTCTTGAAAGAAAAAGAAGAGAAGAAAAAAGTTTCCTCGAATGTGTCTGAAGTGCCATAATGACAATGAAATCAATTTTGAGACATAAGCAAATTAGACAGTTTTTGACGGTTATTGTTTCACTGTTTCACAGTTTTCTCCCGCGTTTTTTATAGCTGCGCATGCGTATTTATGAACTTCAGTAGTCTTCGTCAGTGCGTATTGTAAAACGTTTCGATAAAAGTGTTTCGGAGAAATAAAAAGGATTCTTAATTATTATTTCTTAGTAATTGCGTCGATTTGTTTATACTGTGTAAAATAAACGATAAAGTGCCAAGTGAATAAAGAGCATTCGCGTGAAAATCTCTTAGTAAACTTTAATTATTCAATGTCGATCGTGAGTTTGACCGTATGACATGACGCGTAAAATGCGTAATAATCGTAACAATTTTGATCTTCAAAATACGATATATATTGAGCATGAAGTTGAAAAAAGAAAAAGGAAGAGCAATTTGCATAGCTGTGATCATTAAAGTCAACAATATGATGTAACGGTGAGTACATAATTTTAAATATATATTTAGAGGTTAGGTTTACTTTTTAGTTAAGAATCATATTGAATCGAATACATTACAGCGAAGAAAGATATAGATATATTGATCATCTGAAATTAAAATATTTGTTAGATCATATTTGAGTCCTTTATAATCGAGATGAAATTATACTTAACTATTATATAAAGTTATATATATTATATAAAGTTATATAAAGTTACCTACTATATTATATATAGTAGATAAATTAAAACTTTCTTTTTTAACAAAATATTCATTACATAATGTAATATAATTATTGTAGATATTACGTATAATTATATTATAAAATTGTCGATTTGGTAACTTAAATTTGATAAGATTGACCAATCCATATCATAATTATCATAACCAGTAACTAATTTCTCACCGAAAAAAAAGTCTTTCATAGACGATATAGAAATTACCATGAACGTATTGTTTCGAAGTTCTTAATAATCCTTGAAGTACGAATTTTTGTATTTTAACTGGTTGTCTGTACCATGTTGTATCATATCTAATTTCGTAAAATCATATTTCTTTTTAAATTTCTTTTTTTCTTATTATTATTTTACTTACAATTCATAGAATGGATGCAATGAACAATCCATGATGATCTGGTCGATATAATTATGTATAAACGCATAAAATAAATGTATCAAAATATCATAACCATACGAAAATGCGTATTTTCTCGTGTCATTCAAATAAGTTTTAGTAGTAAACTACAATGTAGAATAGATTTACAATAATTGAAATGCGTTAAAATTATTTAGATTTTTATATAAAATATATTTATAATATATTAATTAATATATTTTATATAATATATATATATATATATATATATATATATATATATATATATATATATTATAATATATTTTATAATATATTAATTAAAAAGTACTCACTAATATCATATAAGTAGCTAAAGAAAATGCGATTATCAGATTGATGGACAATTTTTTCAATAGGACATTGCACACGCTTGAAAAATTTTAGGTTAGATCTATATCTTTAGCTTCTGAAATTTATTTTATCTGTGATATTAATATCAATACCGACTCGATACATGTATAAGTTTCCATTGCATCGCAAATTTTCCTATAAGTTTGATCAATTTCATCATTCGCAATATTTTTTTTCGAATCACTATCAATTGCTCTTCGTATGCGACAACTGAAAAATAGAATTTTTTCTTGAAAATAAAATTCAATGAAAATAAAATTTTTTATCATCGTACCTTATTATCTCAAATAATGCGCAATAATGGTATGCCAGGAGAAGGTGTGTAAACTCAACTGATAATATTGAAATTATATTATTCTTCATGAAATCAATTCTTCAGAAAACAGAAATAGCATATGACAATTAGGTAAAAATGTTCATCCTTCTCTATATTATATCATCGTGCCAAGTCTACTGAGACATATTGTTATTCAAGGGTATGATGTATGAAATGACCAATAACAAAAAATGTGCGTAAATTAATTAATTCTAGAATAGTTGATATATATATAGAATATATAATCGAGCGAATGTCGAAAAAGAAAACAAATTAATGAACAATAGTATCCATTAATCCAGATCAAGCATATATCAATAATAATTGTTTATTTCTGTATTAATACTTCTAATCCATAAAGCCATAGTTTTTATTGTATCGAGTACATCAGGGTGAAATACGAAAACGACGAACTTAACATCTAAAATTTTCCGTAATTTTTTATTCATCAATTTTTGAATTGAAATAACGTGTAATGTAGTTATTTAAAAAAAATTTACCGTTGAAAATCCTGTATGGCATGGGGTGAACAAACCTAAGATGTTGAATGCATGTGTCGTTGTACTTTGTAACATGATTAGCAATAAGATTTTTTGCGCTTTCAATGGCATGGAATACCACATCGAATTATATCTGTTCAATAATAATAATAATAATAATTTTTTTTTACCGCGTAATTAATGTAATTAATTTCAATACATAATAAATGAATTCAAACTTACAATTCATCGAACAATTCTTGGCTATTGTTCATAAGTACTTGACCATTATAATTATTGAGAAATATAATCACCAAGTGAACAGCAACAAGTGTGAAACAGAATAATATTTCTAATTGGTTCTTCTTAATTAAAGTTGCATTTACCAGCTAAATCAAGAAAAATAAATATCGTAAATAAATACATACTTATTTTAAAATTTATCGCGCAGTAAGAGATATTCACTTACTCGATACAAATTTATAGCCAATGAGATCACAACTAGGAAACTAGCCACTATATAATGTATCCCTGCAGTACTTACCGCGAAATCGATAAGTCTGTCATTGAACCACATGAAATTTGAGAACATAATATTAACATAAGCATCTGGAAGATAATTTTATAATACAATCGTTACATTTTAATTTACTAACTCGATAGTTTGATTGTGAATATCCACTACACGATAAAGCTCTATAAGTTTCGAATCAATTTGTTTAGGTGAGAGCTTAAACATAGCCAAATACATAACAATATTTTGTATTCGATAGCTGAAACATACAATACTTTTCGTTATTTAAATTTATCTTATTCAACTTATAATTTATAGGATTAATATATTCATGCATTTACATTTTTGAAGTGTCGATTTTAAAAGCTAAAACAAATAGATAAATTGATAAAGAAAAATGTCAATTAATTTGTTTATAAGATTAATATAAAATTTAAATTTCCATTGAATGGGAATAGAGTGAGACTATTCTGTTTTCATATCAATACAATCTCACTCTATTACTATTTCTCATTTCTAAACAAATTTAAATTATTTGCAATTTAATAACTTAATCTCAATTAATATAATCCATGAATATTTATATTAATTCTGTATAAACACTAAGAATATAATATTTCAAATTGAATTAGATTTAATCTTATGAAATGCGATCATATCTTGTTAATTGAATAATATTAACATGTAATAAAGAAATATTATAAATATTGTAAAGTATTATATATTTGGTAATATGAGACCAATATAAAAATTTCACTCACCTCACAATTTTCAACAACACGCATATATAATAACTACAAATTCCGGTTATCGATTCCGAACATGCTATAGATAATAATCCAAATATGCCAGTAAACATAAAATTTAAGTTTATAATATCGAGATATATGATTTTATCGTGAGAAAAGGTTGTAATGTAATAAATGATACGAGTACGAGATTCATTCAAAGGTATCATGAAATCCAATATTATAGGATATAATACATATGTAACGTAAATTACAATACTCGTGTATGTCATCCCTAAAATTTGGAAAGATCGTTTAATAATTTAATTAATATTTAAAACATCTATCACTATTCAGAAATCTTTTTTTTTTTTTGCTATAAAAAAAAAAAGAATTCTAGAATTTTCGTTATCTCACATTACGAGCGAAGTTATTATCGTTAAAATATAATAATCATAAAAAAAAAAGAAAAATATATAATAAAAAAATGTATTAGAATATAGCTATATAATAGAAATATAGATGTATGAATATTTTCGAACATTTAAATAATTACCATGGACAATGGTATAATTACAGATTGTTATCATCAAAAAAATTCACATAAATAATATATTTCTTACAGAAAAAAATGTTGATCATATGATGCGAATCATCGATCAATTTCATTCGTATTTGCGATTCTATTGAATCTTGAACGATACTTTCCTCTGTACGTATATGCTTGAATACAATTTTTATCTGTCAAAGTAGAATAACATATAGAAATATTTATAGAGGCCAACAATTGAAAATAATTATAATTTTTACTCACTGTAGGAAAAAAGGCTATAGAACCTATATATCGTAACAAAAATAGCACAAATGGACAGGTTATAGATAACGTTAAAATGCTGTTTTGTAATGTAATTTCAGATCTTAAAAGTGACACGATCTAAAAATGTATTCCATTTGTTAACCAGATTATTCAAGCTCAGGCAAGCTTTTTAACTATACAGTAATTCGATCATACGTATAATATATAGTTATTATATGTATATGTATATATTATTTTAAAATATGAATATTTTTTTATGCAAAATAGAGAAACCTGTTTTTCTTTTTTAAACCTGCATTAAATCTGCATTATCATACAGATACATATATATAAAAAAAGAAAAATCATAATTTTCGTTACCTGAAATATTATATTGGCAAGAAAGTAGCTTAATAACCATAATCTCTGAATCCAAACATAAATCGAATTATCGTATGGCCACAGTCCAACGATTTTCAATACAGTACGATAAGTAGCATACTGTTTATCGAATACGTCCATCGTTCTGATCAGATGTTAAATGTTATGTAAAACTGCAAGAATCATTCAACTATACCTCAGTTTAATGCATTATTTATGTTATTATGTTTCTTGAATTACATAGTTTTACCTGTTCGTAATATGATAGAATACAATGCGAGAAAATTACAGTAAATTGTAATCGATCGATTTTCTTCGTTTTCATTATTAAAAGATTCTTCATAATTCTTCATAATAGATATTGATTTTGAAAAAATTACTGGCTTCGGAATATTTCTTTTATGTATTTTTATTCATATATTTCCTTTTCTTTTTCCTTATTTTTCTACTTTTTGATTCGAAAGTAAAGAATAGAGACTTCGTCAGTATTCTTATAGTCGCCGATTAATCACGACACTATTTCTTCTGCAATGCTAAAAAGTTAAAATATTAAAAGAATTATAATAGAAAGGAATAAGAAAAGTGGAACAATTTTATGTGAAACATTGTGAGATACAACGTTATAATGTAAATAGTACAAATTAATGGTATCGTAAAAAACACATATAATTGCAATAATAAATATTTTCTATTTTTAACAACAGTAAATGGAAAACAATCAACAGACTTATACAATATAATATTATTTTTTTTTAATTTAATTAATCCCCAAATTATTTATAATTATATCTTTTTTTATAAAGCAAGTACGTAGAAAGTATCGAGTAATTAAATAATAAGATAAAATTCACTGAAACGTGTATTTCTATAATGATATAATTTAATGCCAATTGTAAATTATTAATACGTTAAAATTGAAAAAGATGGTAAAACTAAACTAAAAGATGCAAATTAAATTTAATACAAATATGCGAATTTGACTAGAAGATTTTTTTTTTAATTAACATTAAAAATCTGGATTCCGAAATTTATTATCTTTGGAAGTATTAGAAGTCATATAGAAAAAAACAATAAACGATACATAATAAATATTCATTATTCAAATCCAAAAGTGTAACAATATCATAACAATTTCAATATTTATATTGAAGTAGTTATATTGAATACTTATATGCCAGTAATATTCCAGAATATTTATTGAATTGAGTATATAACGGCACAATAGGAGAAGGACGAACTCATCATCTGCAATGTTACAATAGTTAAAAGTGTTGAAATTCAAAATCATGTTATTAAACAAAAAAAGAAGAGAAATTACCGACATAAAGCCTGCATAAGACGGAGTGAATAAACCAGAAAGACATAATTCACAATCCATTGAGCTTCTCAATATTATGAACAATAATAGTTTTTGCGCTTTTAAAGGAATGCGATACCATGTAGAAGCATATCTGCATATCATTCTATCATTTAATATATTCCGGCAATATCGTTATATTTTTAGTATTATATACTAATAAAATATGAATTATCTAAACGATAAAGATGTAAGTAATAATATAAAAATTATTCAAACTTACAATTCGTTAAATATGCTAAGATTACTGTCAATAATTAATTGTCCGCAATGATTATTATAAAATGCGATCATTAAATGATACATAACTATAAGAATAGAACCGAAGATTTCTATTCTACTGTCCATAGTTATTATTGCGTTATATAGCTATGAAATGATCAAAAAATATATTTAATTTCATATTTTCAGTATCAATCTGGAAAATGCAATTCTAGTATAATATATAAGGGACATGATATATTATATTATATTATATTAAATGATATCCTTATATACTTCATATGAAAATGATAGATTGTTGTACACTTCAACTTTAACAACTTTATATAAAAAGCAAGAAAAAGAAAATCAAAAATTTGATCGAAAGGATCATCAAAGTTCATTTAGAAAATAGAGAAAACTATACCATTGAAATCATCATTTAAATCATTTCGATTTTTCTTGATATCTCAATCGATTATCGAAATATAAGTTAAAATATCCGTTGCGTTTCACTTAGGGTTTCATTAATATTATGAATACGTTCGCGATCACACAATAATATATTTTTTTTCCAAGAATCGCGTACTATGTTTTTCAGAATAGCATCTGTTATTTGTCGAGAATATGAAATAGTGAGATAAAGAAGAAGAAATCCAAATAAGAGACAAAGAAATAAATAGTAAACGATACTCTTGCAAACTGGAAGCTGTATCAGGATATATTAACAAGTGTTTTGAATTACAAGTTTCCGCGGTTTTAATGATCTTCTATTCATTGAGAATTATTCAACAATTCGCAATTATAACGATTTAAATTTTTCATAATTTTAAATAATAAAATTTAATTGAATTTCAAATTAAATCCCGTTTACAGTGGTATATTGAAGATTCACATATTGAAGAACACGTAAGAAATTCTGTGATTCAAATAAAATGAATAAATCTTTATTAAAAATACTTACGCGATAAAGATTTATAGAGAATGAGAATATGCATACAATAATTGCCACCAGATACTGTGTCGCTGCATTATTTGAGACTATATTGATATGCCTTCCAAGTACGATAATGTAAGAAACATGAAAAATTAATATTATTTAAAAAATTATTATTATTAATATTATTTACCATAATAATTTAATTTTTTAATTTACCAACTCGATAGCATGGCAATGAATGTCCACTACTCGATGTATGTCTGTAAGTTTCAAATCTATCTTAGGCAGATTGGGAATACTGAGATCCTCAATTATCTTTCGCATTCGATAACTAAAAAATATTCAGAATATTAACATGGATAAAAATAAATGCAACATAATGAAATGACTTACCTAGCGATATTAAATCGTCTGCATATATAGTAACTCAAAATATTAGAAAACGATTCTGTACCCGTTATAGATAATAATCCGAATAATAGATTTAACATGAAATTTAAGATTAGAAAGATTTTAATATATGCATTTTGATCGCCAAAAATGAATAAAACATTAAAATGAGTGCGAGATTCGTTTAAAGGTATTATTAGATCCAGTATTACAGGATTCACTAGAAATATGATAGTCGCTGCAATAAAAGCGAAAGTCACGCCTAAAATTTGAAAGTGTTATTTAATATTTTAGAGTCATAGAAATAATGTCGTATTTTTTAAATTTTTTTATTTTAAAGAAACAATTGTAACAATTTCAGAAAAATTCCAGTAGCAATAATAAAAAACGAGAAAGTAATTATAAAAATTAATTAATATAATGAAAATTGTAAAATGTTATAAAATATTTCTTAATATTTTTATTTGGTATTACTCTTTTATAATAGATATATAATTATATTTAAGTAATCACGATGACAACGAAAGTTATTTATATTTTACGAATTAATGTGCATAAAGTGATTTCTTACAACAAAAGATATAGATGATATGACTAGAAATATCCAGATATTTCGTTTGTATTTGTATTTCGATCGTGTCTTGTAACAGATGTTCTTCTGTACGTATGTAATCGAATAAATGTTGTAGCTATACAAAAATAGAAACGTACATATATATAAATATTCAATAATTTAAATAATTTTATTTTTTGAATTTCACTTACGTATGGAAAAATTGTAATATAATAAATATATCGTAAAAAAAATAGCAGTAAAGGGAAAGTCGCAGACAACGTGACAACATAATTTCGTAATGTAATTTCAGAGTTTAGAAGCACGATAATCTAAAAAAGATTTAATTTATTATATTTAAATTAGGATTAAACATCGAAGAAAAGAATATTTTTATAATCTTTAAATATTAAAGAAAATAATTTTTTAAATATATTTATTAATTTCTTTGATTATTTAAATAAAATAATTTTCGTAATATTATTATAGAAAATAAAATATTTCAAATTTATCTATAATATTTTAATATTAATAAAATTAACATTTTTGCATCAATATATTGAAAAAAAATATATAAAATTACTAATGGTAAGAAATAATAATGGAATTTCTATTACCTGAAATATTATACCGATAAGAAAATACAGTAAGAAACATGTTCTTTGAATCCATACGTAGATTGATTTATCATATGGCCACAGTCCTACAATTTTCAATATTATACGATAGATACGATATTGTTTGTCGAAAACATCCATGTTCCTGGTTAGATATCGACTGCAGTGTAGAATTCAAAAGATAATTTCACTACATCTCAGCTTAATGTATTATTTACACGACTATTTTTCCGTCTTGTATTTTCATAATATAGGCTGTCTATAGTAACAGACTATATAATGTCCAATAATTACGATAAATTGCAATCGATTTTCACTCATTACTAAATGATTCTCCATAAAAGATAAATTTTCATTCATATATTTTCTTTTCTTATTTCATATTTTTCTATTTTTCGATTTGAAAGTGGGAGGATAGAAGCATTGTCAGTAATCTTATAATCGTCAGTTGCTTACGATGCTATTCTCTCTGTAATTCTAAAATATTAATATATTAAAAGAATTATATAATTAATAGAAATAAATAAGAATAATAGAAACGTGTTGAGTGAAACATAGTGAGACATAATTGTTATCGTGTAAATAGTTTAATGTAAAAGTATCATAAAAATTTGTCTACATATAGTTTTGCAATAATAAATATTTTCCATTTTAATTCCAGTAATAGGAAAACGACCAAGATTATATTTGATATGAAATATAACATCATTTTTTACTCATTTTATTATTCAAATTGTTTGTGCTTATTTAACAAATATTCAATTCAAATCTATGCGTATGACAACGATACCACATGATTGCAATATTTATATTTTGAAGTAAAATGTCAGATATTTATTGAATCGAGTATATAACGGCACAATAGGAGAAGGACGAACTCATCATCTGTAATGTTACAATAGTTAAGTGTTGAAATTTGAAAATGATGCAGTATATGAAGAAGTAGAAATTACCGACGTAAAGCCTACATAAGACGGAGTGAATAAACCAGAAAGACGTAATTCACAACCCATTGAAGTTCTCAGTATCATAAGCAATAATAATTTTTGCGCCTTTAATGGAATGCAATACCATGTAGAAGAATATCTGCATAGTATTTTGTCATATAATAAATTCCAATATCGTTATATTTTTAATATAACAAATTGATAACATATGGGTTATCTAAACGATAAAAATGTAAATAATAATATAGTAATTATTCGAACTTACAATTCGTTAAATATGCCGAGATTACTGTCAATAATTAATTGTCCATAATGATTATTGTAAAATGCAATCATTAAATGATAGATAACTACAAGAGCACAACCGGAGATTTCTGTTCTACTGTCCATAGTTATTATTGCATTATATAGCTATGAAACGATCAAAAAATATATTTAGTTTCATATTTTCAATAGTAAGTAATCTAAAGAATATCGTTATTATTTCACAAAATGATATACAAAATATATATGTTATATTATCCTAAATGATATACTTCTATTAAACATCATATTAAAATAATAGCTTACATATTTTATCTTTTGTAAAAGACATGAAAAGAAATTAAAAATTTTATGTATAAAAGGAATTATCAAAATTTACTCATAATTTACTCATAAAGTAGAGAAAAGTATATCACTGAAGTCCTTATTCAATTCTTCTCGATATCTCAATTCATTTTCGAGATATAACAATTTTCCATACCATTTAATAGAGTGCAGAAATTATGAAAATGCTTGTGATAATCCAATAACATATTCTTTTTTCTGACAAATTGTTGTTTCTTTTAAGCGACAATAATCTCGCAAATTGGAAATTACATCAGGTATTTTAATGAACATTTTAAGAACAAGATTCCGCGGTCCTAATGATTTTTCATCGATAGAGCGAGAATAATTATCCTCGAGGTTAGAGATATTTAAATTTTTCTTAATTTTAATAGGATATTCGAGTTCTTAATTTTAATAGGTATTCGAGAAAGTAAATTCCATTTATAATAATCTTATCAATGATATATTAGAGATCCTAAATCTAAGATTTCAAAAATTTTTTAAAAATAAGATTGATAAATCGTATACAACATTAAAAAATACTTACGCGATATAGATTTACAGAGAATGAGAGCACGCATACAATAATTGCTATCAGATATTGTGCTCCATTATTTGTAGCAAAATTAATATGCCTTCCAAGTACGACAATATAAGATACGTAAAAAATTAATATTATTTAAATTATTATTATTATTATTACTTTTTATAATATTTTAATTTACCAACTCAATAGCATGATTATAAATGTCCACTATTCGATGTATCTCTGTAAATTTCAAATCTATTTGCTTGGACAAAATAGGCATACTAAGGTCTTCAATGATCTTTCGAATTCGGTAACTAAAAAATATTCCAAATACTTAATAATAAGGGATAAAAATACATTGCAGAATGCAACATGATCAAGTCACTTACCTGACAATATGAAATTGTCTGGATATATAATAACAAAAAATATTAAGTGAGAACTCTGTACCCATTATACATAATAATCCGAATGACAGAATTAACATGAAGTTTAAGATTAAAAAGATTTTAATAAACGCGCTTTGATCGCCGAAAAGAAATAGGACATTGAAGTGAGCGCGAGATTCGTTTAAAGGCATTATTATATCCAATGTTATAGGAATTAATAGAAATATCATGAACGCTGTAATACCAGTAAAACTCATCCCTAGAAATTCAAAGTATTTTTTAATATTTCAAAGTTATATATAAATAATGCTATATTTTTGAAATTATTTTTATTCTGATGAAAGAATTGTAATATTTTTAAAAAAATGTATAATGACAAACAAGAAAGTAATTATAAAAATTAATTAATATACTGAAAATTGTAAAATGTTGTACAATATTTTGAATAATTTTATATGATATTATTTTTTCATAATAGATATATAATTATATTTAAGTAATTATGATAACAATGAAAGTTATTTATATTTTACGAATTAATGTGCATAACGTGATTTCTTACAGCAAAAAATATCGATAATATGACTGGAAATATCGAGATATTTCGTTTGTATTTGTATCTCTATCGAATCTTGTAACTGATGTTCTTCTGCAGATATGATATTGAACAGAATTTCTGCCTGTACAAAAATAGAAACATATATATAAATAAATGTTCAATAATATTAAGTAATTTTTCATGAATTTCACTTACGTATGAAAACAGTGTAATAAAATGAAGGTATCGTAAAAAAAACAGCAATACAGGAAAAATCTCAGATAACGTGATAACGCAATTTTGTAATGTAATTTCAGATTTTACCAGCAGGATAATCTGAAAAATTATATTCGTCAAATTACAATTAAATATTAAACAAGAAAATATTTTTTTAATCATATTTATTGATCATTTAAATAAAATATTTTTCTAAGTATTATGGAAAACAAAATATTTTAAATTTATCTATAATATTCTGAGATTAATGTATTCAATTTCTGGATTAGCATATTAATGTAACGTACCAATTATTATTATCGATAAAGAATAATCAAAATTATATTACCTGAAATATTATACCTATAAGAAAGTATGTTAATAAAGACAATCTCTGAATCCATACGTAGATTGAACTGTCGTATGGCCATAGTCCTATAATTTTCAATATAATACGATAAGTACGATACTGATTGTCGAACACGTTCATTGTTCTGGTCAGATATTAACTGTCACGTAAAATTCAAAGAATCATCCGTCTATACCTCGGTTCAATATATTATTCACATTCTTATTTCTTCATCTCAAATTCTATAGTGTACTCTTTTTGTATTTATAGACTGTTATATGTGAAAATTATAGTAAATTGCATTCGATCGATTTTCTTCGCACTCATTACTGAACGATCACTATTTCATAACAGATTTTCATTTATGTATTTTCTTGACTTTTTTCGTATTTTTCTATTTTTTGATTTGAAAGAATAGAAGCTTTGTCAGTAATCTTACTGGTATTACAGCGTTACAATCGTGAGTTACTCACTATTCCTTCTGTAATGTTAAAATGTTAAAATATTAAAATGTGAAGAATTATAATAGAAGAAAATAAAAAAAGTGGAATAGTTTCACGTGATACATAGTAAGACAGAACATTATGCCATAAACAGTTTAAACTAATCGTGCTATAAAAATTTATTTTTTATATTATTGCAACAATAAATATTTTATTAACTGGAAAACGATTAATAGATTTATGAAATACAACATTATTTTGTTTAAATTTTATTACATAAATCGTTTGTGCTTATATTTAAAAAATATCCATTATTCAAATGGATATAACAATATCATATAATTGCAATATTTATACTGAAGTAAAATGCAAGTAATATTCGAGAATATTTATTGAATTGAGTATATAACAGCACAATAGGAGAAGGACGAACTCATCATCTGCAATATTATAATCGTTAAAAGTGTTGAAATTCAAAATTATGTTGTATAACAAAAAAAAAAGAGAAATTACCGACGTAAAGCCTGCATAAGACGGAGTGAATAAACCAGAAAGACATAATTCACAATCCATTGAGCTCCTCAATATCATAAACAATAATAGTTTTTGCGCTTTTAAAGGAATGCGATACCATGTAGAAGCAAATCTGCGTATCATTCTATCATTTAATATATTCCGGCAATATCGTTATATTTTTAGTATTAATAAAATATGAATTATCTAAACGATATAGATGTAAATAATAATAACAATTATTGGAACTTACAATTCGTTAAATATGCCAAGATTACTGTCAATAATTAATTGTCCATAATGATTATTGTAAAATGCGATCATTAAATGATAGGTAACTATCAGAATACAACCGAAGACTTCTATTCGATTGTCCATAGTTATTATTGCGTTATATAGCTATGAAACGATCCAAAAACATATTTAGTTTGATATTTTCAATATAATATATAAGTAATATCTAGAAGATATTGCGATTATTTCACAAAATGATATACAAAATATATGCTATATTATGCTAAATATGTATTCCTATATTTCATATTAAAATGATAGATTGTTACATATCTTTTGTAAGAGGCTCATGAAGAAAAATTAAAAATTTTATCTATTAACGAATTATTAATAACGAATAATATATTTTTTTTCCAAGAATTACGTACTATGTTTTTTCAAGGATGGCGTTTAATGTTTGTAGAGAATTTGGAATAGTAAGATGAAGTGCAAATGAGAGGTGACAAAAAAATAAATCGTAAACAATAATCTTGCAAACTGGAAGCTGTATCAGGATGTATTAACAAGTGTTTTGAATTACAAGATTCCGGAGTTTTAGTTCTATTCATCGAAAATTATCACTTTCGCAATTATAACGATTTAAATTTTTCATAATTTTAATAAAATCTAATAGAATTTCAAATTAAATTCAGCTTACAGTGGTATATTGAAGATTCTAACACGTAAGAAATTCTATGGTTGAATTAAGGTGAATAAATCTTCATTAAAAATACTTACGCGATATAGATTTACAGAGAATGACAGTATGCATACAATGATTGCCATTAGATATTGCGCTGCTGTATTATTTGTGGCTGAATTAATATATCTTCCAAGTGCAACGATATAAGATACGTGAAAAATTAATATTATTTAAAAACTTGTAATTATTATTATGTACCATAATATTTTAATTTACCAACTCGATAGCGTGGCAATGAATGTCCACTACTCGATGTATGTCTGTAAGTTTCAAATCTATCTTAGTCAGATTGGGCATACTGAGATCCTCAATTATCTTTCGTATTCGATAACTAAAAAAAATTTAGAATATTGATATGGATAAAATATATGCAACATAATGCAGTAACTTACCTGACGATATTAAATCGTCTGCATATATAATAACTAAAAATATTAAGTGACAACTCTGTACTCATTATAGATAATAATCCGAATGACAGAATTAACATGAAATTTAAGATTAAAAAAATTTTAATATAGGCGCTTTGATCGCCGAAAAGGAATGAAACATTAAAATGAGTGCGAGATTCGTTTAAAGGCATTATTAGATCTAGTATTACAGGATTCACTAGGAATATGATAGTCGCTGCAATAAAAGCGAAAGACACGCCTAGAATTTGAAAGTGTTATTTAATATTTCAGAGTTACATATAAATAATATCGTATATTTAAATTGTTCTTATTTTGGAGAAAAAATTGTAACATTTTCAGAAAAATGTTATATAATAAAAAGAGAGAGTAATTATAAAAATTAATTAAAATATTGAAAATTGTAAAATACTGTAGAATATTTCTTAATATTTTTATTTGGTATTACTCTTTTATAATAGATATATAATTATATTTCAGTAATTATGATGACAACAAAAGTTATTTATATTTTACGAATTACTGTGTATAAAGTGATTTCTTACAGCAAAAAATGTGGACAATATGATTAGAAATATCGAGGTATTTCGTTCGTATTTGTATTTCAATCGAATCTTGTAACAGATTTTCTTCCGCAGATATGTTATCGAACAAAGTTTTTGCCTGTACAAAAATAGAAACGTATATATATGTATAAATGTTCAATAATTTAAATAATTTTATTTTTTGAATTTCACTTACGTATGGAAAAATTGTAATATAATAAATATATCGTAAAAAAAATAGCAGTAAAGGAAAAGTCGCAGACAACGTAACAACATAATTATGTAATGTAATTTCAGATTTTAGAAGCACGATAATCTAAAACATTTAATTTATTATATTTCAATTACGATTAAACATAAAAAAAGAATATTTTTATAATATTTAAATACTAAAGAAAATAATTTTTTTTAATATATTTATTAATTTATATGATTATTTAAGTAAAATAATTTTTCTAATATTATTGTAGAAAATAAAGTATTTTAAATTTATCTATAATATTCTTATAATAATGTAATCAGAAATTTTTTGATTAACATGTTGAAAAAAAACGTATAAAATTACTATTGATAAAGAATAATAATGAAATTTCTATTACCTGAAATATTATACCAATAAGAAAATACAGTAATAAACATGTTCTCTGAATCCATACATAAACTGATTTATCATATGGCCACAGTCCTACAATTTTCAATATTGTACGATAGATATAATATTGTTTGTCGAAAACATCCATGTTCCTGGTTAGATGTCAACTGCAGTGTGGAATTCGAAAGATAATTTGACTATATCTCGACTTAATGTATTATTTACACGATTATTTTTCCGTCTTGTATTTTCATAATATACCCTGTCTATAGTAACAGACTATATAATGTCCAATAATTACGATAAATTGCAATCGATTTTCACTCATTACTAAATGATTCTCCATAACAGATAAATTTTCATTCATATATTTTCTTTTCTTATTTCTTATTTTTCTATTTTTCGATTTGAAAGTAGAGAATAGAAGCATTGTCAGTAATCTTACAATCGTTAGTTGCTTACGATGCTATTCCCTCTGTAATGTTAAAATATTAATATATTAAAAGAATTATATAATTAATAGAAATAAATAAGAATAGTAGAAACGTATTGAGTGAAACATAGTGAGACATAATTGTTATCGTGTAAATAGTTTGAAAATAAAGGTAGTTTGGAAATAAAGGTATCATAAAAATTTGTCTACACATATTTTTGCAATAATAAATATTTTCCATTTTAATTCCAGTAACAGGAAAACGACCAAGATTATATTTGATATGAAATATAACATCATTTTTTACTCATTTTATTATTCAATTGTTTGTGCTTATTTAACAAATATTCAATTCAAATCTATGCGTATGACAACGATACCACATGATTGCAATATTTATATTTTGAAGTAAAATGTCAGATATTTATTGAATCGAGTATATAACGGCACAATAGGAGAAGGACGAACTCATCATCTGCAATGTTACAATAGTTAAGTGTTGAAATTTGAAAATGATGCAGTATATGAAGAAGTAGAAATTACCGACGTAAAGCCTACATAAGACGGAGTGAATAAACCAGAAAGACGTAATTCACAACCCATTGAAGTTCTCAGTATCATAAGCAATAATAATTTTTGCGCCTTTAATGGAATGCGGTACCATGTAGAAGAATATCTGCATAGTATTTTATCATGTAATAAATTCCAATATCGTTATATTTTTAATATAACAAATTGATAACATATGGGTTATCTAAACGATAAAGATGTAAATAATAATATAGCAATAATTCGAACTTACAATTCGTTAAATATGCCAAGATTACTGTCAATAATTAATTGTCCATAATGATTATTGTAAAATGCAATCATTAAATGATAAATAACTACAAGAGCAGAACCGGAAATTTCTATTCTATTGTCCATAGTTATTATTGCGTTATATAGCTATGAAACGATCAAAAAATATATTTAGTTTTATATTTTCAATAGTAAATAATCTAAAGAATATCGCGATTATGTCACAAAATGATATACAAAATATATATGCTATATTATCTTAAATGATATTTTTCTATACATCATATTAAAATAATAGCTTACATATTTTATCTTAATTTAATCTTAATTATTTTATCTTAATAGTAAGTAATCTAAAGAATATCGCGATTATTTCACAAAATGATATACAAAATATATATGTTATATTATCCTAAATGATATACTTCTATTAAACATCATATTAAAATAATAGCTTACATATTTTATCTTTTGTAAAAGACATGAAAAGAAATTAAAAATTTTATGTATAAAAGGAATTATCGAAATTCACTCATAAAGAAGAGAAAAGTATATCACTGAAGTCCCTATTCCATTCTTCTCGATATCTCAATCCATTTCCGAGATATAATCCGGAATATCAATTTTCCATACTATTTAATACAGTGCAGAAATTATGAAAATGCTTGTGATAATCCAATGACATATTCTTTTTTCTGACAAATTGTTGTTTCTTTTAAGCGACAATAATCTCGCAAATTGGAAATTACATCAGGTATTTTAATAAACATTTTAAGAACAAGATTCCGCGGTCCTAATGATTTTTCATCGATAGAGCAAGAATAATTATCCTCGGGGTAAGAGATATTTAAATTTTTCTTAATTTTAATAGGATATTGGAGTTTTAAAGTAAATTCCATTTATAATAATCTTATCAATGATATATTAGAGATCCTAAATCTAAGATTTCAAAAATTTTTTAAAAATAAGATTGATAAATCGTATACAACATTAAAAAATACTTACGCGATATAGATTTACAGAGAATGACAGTATGCATACAATAATTGCTATCAAATATTGTGTCGCTCCATTATTTGTAGCAAAATTAATATGCCTTCCAAGTACGACAATATAGGATACGTAAAAAATTAATATTATTTAAATTATTGTTATTATTATTACTTTTTATAATATTTTAATTTACCAACTCAATAGCATGGTTATAAATGTCCACTATTCGATGTATCTCTGTAAATTTCAAATCTATCTGCTTGGACAGAATAGGCATGCTGAGATTTTCAACGATCCTTCGAATTCGGTAACTAAAAAATATTCCAAATACTTACAGGGATAAAAATAAATTGAAGAATGCCACATGATCAAGTAACTTACCTGACAATATGAAATTGTCTGGATATGTAATAACAAAAAATATTAAGTGAGAACTCTGTACCCATTATACATAATAATCCGAATGACAGAATTAACATGAAGTTTAAGATGAAAAAGATTTTAATAAACGCGCTTTGATCACCGAAAAGAAATAGGACATTGAAGTGAGCGCGAGATTCGTTTAAAGGCATTATTATATCCAATGTTATGGGAATTAATAGAAATATCATGAACGCTGTAATACCAGTAAAACTCATCCCTAGAAATTCAAAGTATTTTTTTTAGTATTTCAAAGTTATATATAAATAATGCTGTATTTTTGAAATTATTTTTATTCTGAAAAAAGAATTGTAACATTTTTAAAAAAAGTTGTAATGAAAAAAAAGAAAGTAATTATAAAAATTAATTAATATACTGAAAATTGTAAAATGTTGTACAATATTTTGAATAATTTTATATGATATTATTTTTCCATAATAGATATATAATTATATTTAAGTAGTCATGATAACAATGAAAGTTATTTATATTTTACGAATTAATGCGCATAAAATGATTTCTTACAGCAAAAAATGTGGATAATATGATTAGAAATATCGAGGTATTTCATTTGTATTTGTATTTCTGTCGAATCTTGTAACAGATGTTCTTCTGCAGATATGTTATCGAACAAAATTTCTGCCTGTACAAAAATAGAAATGTATATATGTATAAATGTTCAGTAATATAAATAATTTTATTTTTCTCGAATTTCACTTACGTATGAAAACAGTGTAATACAATGAAGATATCGTAAAAAAAATAACAGTACAGGAAAAATCTCAGATAACGTGATAACGCAATTTTGTAATGTAATTTCAGATTTTATAAGCAGGATAATCTGAAAAATTATATTCGTCAAATTACAATTAAATGTTAAACAAGAAAAAATTTTTTTAATCATATTAATTGATTATTTAAATAAAATATTTTTCTACGAATTATAGAAAATAATATATCTTAAATTTATTTATAATATTCTAAGTTTAATGTATTCAATTTTTGCATTAGCATGTTAATGTAACGTACCAATTATTAATATCGATAAAGAATAATCAAAATTATATTACCTGAAATATTATACCCATAAGAAAGTACATTAATAAAGACAATCTCTGAATCCATACATAGATTGAATTGTCGTATGGCCATAGTCCTATAATTTTCAATATAATACGATAAGTACGATACTGACTGTCGAACACGTTCATTGTTCTGGTCAGATATTAACTGTCACGTAAAATTCGAAGAATCATCCGTCTATACCTCGGTTCAATATATTATTCACATTATTTTTTCTCTATCTCAAATTCTATAATGTACTCTTTTTGTACTTATAGACTGTTTTATGTGAAAATTATAGTAAATTGCATTCGATCGATTTTCTTCGCACTCATTACTAAACGATGACTATTTCATAACAGATTTTCATTTACATATTTTCTTGCCTTTTTCGTATTTTTCTATTTTTCGATTTGAAAGAATAGAAGCTTTGTCAGTAATCTTACATTCGTGAGTTACTCACGACACTATTCCTTCTGTAATGTTAAAATATTAAAATATTAAAATGTGAAAAAGTATAATAGAAAGAAATAAGAAAAGTGGAATAGTTTCACGTGATATATTGTAAGAAAGAACAGTATGCTATAAACAGTTTAAACTAATCGTGCTGTAAAAATTTATTTCTATATATTATTGCAATAATAAATATTTTATTAACTGGAAAATGATTAATAGATTTATAATAATAGATTTATAATAAATACAACATTATTTTGTTTAAATTTTATTACTTAAATTGTTTGTGCTTATATTTAAAAATATCCATTATTCAAATCTACACGTATAATAATATCATATAATTGCAATACTTATACTGAAGTAAAATGCCAGTAATTCGAGAATATTTATTGAATTGAATATATAACGGCACAATAGGAGAAGGATGAACTCAACATCTGCAATGTTAAAATAGTTAAAAGTGATGAAATTCAAAATAATATATAACAAAAAAAAAAAGAAAAATTACCGATGTAAAGCCAACATAAGACGGAGTGAATAAACCAGAAAGACATAACTCACAATCCATTGAGCTTCTCAATATCATAAACAATAATAGTTTTTGCGCTTTTAAAGGAATGCGATACCATGTAGAAGCAAATCTGCATATCATTCTATCATTTAATATATTTCGGCAATATCGTTATATTTTTAGTATTAATAAAATATGAATTATCTAAACGATAAAGATGTATGTAATAATATAAAAATTATTCGAACTTACAATTCGTTAAATATGCTAAGATTACTGTCAATAATTAATTGTCCGCAATGATTATTATAAAACGCGATCATTAAATGATACATAACTATAAGAATAGAACCGAAGATTTCTATTCTACTGTCCATAGTTATTATTGCGTTATATAGCTATGAAACAATCAAAAAATATATTTAGTTTCATATTTTCAATAGTAAATAATCGAAAGAATATCGCGATTGTTTCACAAAATGATATACAAAATATATGTTATATTATGCTAAATATATACTCCTATACTTCATATTAAAATGATAGATTGTTACATATATTTTGTAAGAGGCTCATGAAAAAAAATTAAAAATTTTATCCATTAATAGTTAATAATAAATAACATATTTTTTTTCAAGAAATGCGTACTATGTTTTTTCAAGGATGGCGTTTAATATTTGTCGAGAATTTGGAATAGTAAGATGAAGTGCGAATGAGAGGTGACAAAAAAATAAATACTAAACAATAATCGTGCAAATTGGAAACTGTATCAAGATGTATTAACAAGTGTTTTGAATTACAAGATTCCGGAGTTTTAATGGTCTTTTATTTATCGAGATTTATCGTAATTATAACGATTTAAATTTTTCATAATTTTAATAAAATCTAATAGAATTTCAAATTAAATTCCGCTTACAGTGGTATATTTAAGATTTTAATACGTAAGAAATTTTATAGTTGAATTAAGGTGAATAAATCTTCATTAGAAATACTTACGCGATATAGATTTACAGAGAATGAAAGTATGCATACAATAATTGCCATTAGATATTGCGTTGCTGTATTATTTGTGGCTAAATTAATATGTCTTCCAAATACAATGATATAAGATACGTGAAAAATTAATATTATTTAAAAACTTGTAATTATTATTATGTACCATAATATTTTAATTTACCAACTCGATAGCGTGGCAATGAATGTCCACTACTCGATGTATGTCTATAAGTTTCAAATCTATCTTAGTCAGATTGGGCATACTGAGATCCTCAATTATCTTTCGTATTCGATAACTAAAAAAAATTCAGAATATTGACATGGATAAAAATATGTGCAACATAATGAAGTAACTTACCTAACTATATTAAATCGTCTGCATATATAGTAACTAAAAATATTAGTTAACGATTCTGTACTCGTTATAGATAATAATCCGAATAATAGATTTAACACGAAATTTAAGATCAAAAATATTTTAATATAGGCGTTTTGATCGCCGAAAATGAATGAAACGTTGAAATGAGTGCGAGATTCGTTTAAAGGCATGATTATATCCAATATTAAAGGATTCACTAGGAATATGATAGTCGCTGCAATAAAAGCGAAAGACACGCCTAGAATTTGAAAGTGTTATTTAATATTTCACAGTTACATATAAATAATGTCGTATTTTTTAAATTGTTTTTATTTTGAAGAAAAAATTGTAATATTTTCAGAAAAATGTTATATAATAAAAAGCGAGAGAGTAATTATAAAAATTAATTAAAATATTGAAAATTATAAAATATTGTAAAATATTTCTTAATATCTTTATTTGATAAGATACTCTTTTAAAGATACTCTTTTATAATTTAATCTAATCTTTTTTAATTTATAATAGATATATAATTATATTTGAATAGTCATGATGACTACGAAAGTTATTTATATTTTACGGATTAACGTGCATAAAGTGATTTCTTACAACAAAAAATATGGATGATGTGACTGGAAATATCGAGATATTTCGTTTGTATTTGTATTTCTGTCGTGTCTTGTAACAGATGTTCCTCTGTACGGATGTAATCGAATAAATGTTGTAGCTGTACAAAAATAGAAACGTACATATGTATAAATGTTCAATAATTTAAATAATTTTATTTTTTGAATTTCACTTACGTATGGAAAAATTGTAATATAATAAATATATCGTAAAAAAAATAGCAGTAAAGGAAAAGTCGCAGACAACGTAACAACATAATTTCGTAATGTAGTTTCAGAGTTTAGGAGCACAATAATCTAAAAAATTTAATTTATTATATTTCAATTACGATTAAACATCGAAGAAAAGATTATTTTCATAATCTTTAAATACTAAAGAAAATAATTTCTTTAATATATTTATTAATTTATTTGATTATTTAAATAAAATAATTTCTCTAATATTATTGTAGAAAATGAAGTATTTTAAATTTATCTATAATATTCTCATAATAATGTAATTACAAATTTTTAGATCAACATGTTGAAAAAAACGTATAAAATCACTATTGATAAAGAATAAGAATGGAATTTCCATTACCTGAAATATTATACCGATAAGAAAATACAGTAATAAACATGTTCTCTGAATCCATACATAAACTGATTTATCATATGGCCACAGTCCTACAATTTTCAATATTGTACGATAGATATAATATTGTTTGTCGAAAACATCCATGTTCCTGGTTAGATGTCAACTGCAGTGTGGAATTCGAAAGATAATTTGACTACATCTCGGCTTAATGTATTATTTACACGATTATTTTTCCGTCTTGTATTTTCATAATATAGCCTGTCTATAGTGACAGACTATATAATGTCCAATAATTACGATAAACTGCAATCGATTTTGACTCATTACTAAGTGATTCTCCATAACAGATAAATTTTCATTCATATATTTTCTTTTCTTATTTCTTATTTTTCTTATTTTTCGATTTGAAAGTAGAGAATAGATGCATTGTCAGTAATCTTACAATCGTCAGTTGCTTAGGACGCTATTCCTCTGTAATGCTAAAAAGTTAAAATATTAAAAGAATTATAATAGAAATAAATAAGAAAAGTAGAAACATTTTGAGTGAAACACAGTGAGACATAATTGTTATCGTGTAAATAGTTTAAACTAAAAGTATCGTAAAAATTTGTCTACACATATTTTTGCAATAATAAATATTTTCTATTTTAATTCCAGTAACTGGAAAACAATCAGAAAATTTGATATCAGAAAATTTGAATTATAACATTTTTTACTCATTTTATTATTCAAATTGTTTGTGTTTATTTAACAAATATTCAATTCAAATCTATGCGTATAACAACGATACCACATGATTGCAATATTTATATTTTGAAGTAAAATGTCAGATATCTATTGAATCGAGTATATAACGGCACAATAGGAGAAGGACGAACTCATCATCTGCAATGTTACAATAGTTAAAAGTGTTGAAATTCAAAACGATGCAGTATATGAAATAGAAATTACCGATGTAAAGCCTACATAAGACGGAGTGAATAAACCAGAAAGACGTAATTCACAACCCATTGAAGTTCTCAGTATCATGAACAATAATAATTTTTGCGCTTTTAATGGAATGCGGTACCATGTAGAAGCATATCTGCATAGTATTTTATCATGTAATAAATTCCAATATCGTTATATTTTTAATACATCAAATTCATAACATATGAGTTATCTACACGATAAAGATGTAAATAATAATATAGCAATAATTCGAACTTACAATTCGTTAAATATGCCAAGATTACTGTCAATAATTAATTGTCCATAATGATTATTGTAAAATGCAATCATTAAATGATAGATAACTACAAGAGCAGAACCGGAAATTTCTATTCTATTGTCCATAGTTATTATTGCGTTATATAGCTATGAAACGATCAAAAAATATATTTAGTTTTATATTTTCAATAGTAAATAATCTAAAGAATATGTCACAAAATGATATACAAAATATATGCTACATTATATTTAGGAGCATATATGCACAATATATGCTCCTAAATGATATTCTTCTATACATCATATTTAAATGATAGCTTACATACTTTTTTTTTTCTTTTATAAAAGACATGAAAAGAAATTAAAGATTTTAATGTATAAAAAGAATTATCGAAATTCATTCATAAAGTAGAGAAAAGTATATCATTGAAGTTTCTATTCGATTCTTTTCGATATCTCAATCCATTTCCGAGATACAACAATTTTCCATACCATTTAATACAGTGCAGAAATTATGAAAATGCTTATGGTAGTCCAATGACATATCCTTTTTTCTGACAAATTGTTGTTTTTTTTAAGCGACGATAATCTCGCAAATTGAAATTATATCAGGTATTTTAATAAACATTCTAAGAACCAGATTCCGCGGTCCTAATGATCTTTCATCCATAGAGCGAGAATAATTATCCTCGAGGTTAGAGAAATTTAAATTTTTTTTTAATTTTAATAGGATTTATTCGAGTTTTAAAGTAAATTCCATTTATAATAATCTTATCAATGATATATTAGAGAGCCTAAATCTAAGATTTCGAAAATTTTTTAGAAATAAGATTGATAAATCGTACAACATTAAAAAATACTTACGCGATATAGATTTACAGAGAATGAAAGTATGCATACAATAATTGCTATCAAATATTGTGTCGCTCCATTATTTGTAGCAAAATTAATATGCCTTCCAAGTACGACAATATAGGATACGTAAAAAATTAATATTATTTAAATTATTGTTATTATTATTATTTTTCATAATATTTTAATTTACCAACTCAATAGCGTGGTTATAAATGTCCACTATTCGATGTATGTCTGTAAATTTCAAATCTATTTGCTTGGACAAAATAGGCATACTAAGGTCTTCAACGATCCTTCGAATTCGGTAACTAAAAAATATTCCAAATACTTACAGGGATAAAAATAAATTGAAAAATGCAACATGATCAAGTAACTTACCTGACAATATGAAATTGTCTGGATATGTAATAACAAAAAATATTAAGTGAGAACTCTGTACCCATTATACATAATAATCCGAATGACAGAATTAACATGAAATTTAAGATGAAAAATATTTTAATATACGCGCTTTGATCGCCAAAAAGAAATAAGACATTGAAGTGAGCACGAGATTCATTTAAAGGAATTATTATATCCAATGTTATAGGAATCAGTAGAAATACGATGAATGCTGTAACAGCAATAAAACTCGCACCTACAATTTTAAAATATTATTAAATATTTCAAAATTATATATAAATAATTCTGTATTTTTAAAATTATTTTTATTTTGAAAAAAGAATTGTAACATTTTTAAAAAAAGTTGTAATGAAAAAAAAGAAAGTAATTATAAAAATTAATTAATATATTGAAAATTGTACAATATTTTTAATATTTTGACATTATGATATTACTTTTATAATAGATATGTAATTATATTTAAGTAGTCATAATGACAACGAAAGTTATTTATATTTTACGAATTAATGTGCATAAAACGATTTCTTACAGCAAAAAATGTGGATAATATGATTAGAAATATCGAGGTATTTCGTTTGTATTTGTATTTCTGTCGAATCTTGTAACAGATGTTCTTCTGCAGATATGTTATCGAACAAAATTTCTGCCTGTACAAAAATAGAAATGTACATATGTATAAAATGTTCAGTAATATAAATAATTTTATTTTTCTCGAATTTCACTTACGTATGAAAACAGTGTAATACAATGAAGATATCGTAAAAAAAATAACAGTACAGGAAAAATCTCAGATAACGTGATAACGCAATTTTGTAATGTAATTTCAGATTTTACCAGCAGGATAATCTGAAAAATTATATTCGTCAAATTACAATTAAATATTAAACAAGAAAATATTTTTTTAATCATATTTATTGATCATTTAAATAAAATATTTTTCTAAGTATTATGGAAAACAAAATATTTTAAATTTATCTATAATATTCTAAAGTTAATGTATTCAATTTTTGCATTAGCATGTTAATGTAACGTACCAATTATTAATATCGATAAAGAATAATCAAAATTATATTACCTGAAATATTATACCGATAAGAAAGTATATTAATAAAGACAATCTCTGAATCCATACGTAGATTGAATTGTCGTATGGCCATAGTCCTATAATTTTCAATATAATACGATAAGTACGATACTGATTGTCGAACACGTTCATTGTTCTGGTCAGATATTAACTGTCACGTAAAATTCGAAGAATCATCCGTCTATACCTCGGTTCAATATATTATTCACATTATTGTTTCTCTATCTCAAATTCTATAATGTACTCTTTTTGTACTTATAGACTGTTATATGTGAAAATTATAGTAAATTGCAATGGATCGATTTTCTTCGCACTCATTACTAAACGATCACTATTTCATAACAAATTTTCATTTATATATTTCTTTGACTTTTTTCGTATTTTCCTATTTTTCGATTTGAAAGAATAGAAGCTTTGTCAGTAATCTTACAATCGTGAGTTACTCACGACACTATTCCTTCTGTAATGTTAAAATATTAAAATATTAAAATGTGAAAAAGTATAATAGAAAGAAATAAGAAAAGTGGAATAGTTTCACGTGATACATTGTAAGACAGAACAGTATGTTATAAACAGTTTAAACTAATCGTGCTGTAAAAATTTATTTTCATATATTATTGCAATAATAAATGTTTTATTAACTGGAAAATGATTAATAGATTTATGAAATACAACATTATTTTGTTTAAATTTTATTACTCAAATTGTTTATGCTTATATTTAAAAATATCCATTATTCAAATCTACACATATAACAATATCATATAATTGCAATACTTATACTGAAGTAAAATGCCAGTAATATTCGAAAATATTTATTGAATTGAATATATAACGGCACAATAGGAGAAGGATGAACTCATCATCTGCAATGTTACAACAGTTAAAAGTGTTGAAATTCAAAATCATGTTGTATAATAGAAAAAGAAGAGAAATTACCGACGTAAAGCCTGCATAAGACGGAATGAATAAACCAGAAAGACATAACTCACAATCCATTGAGCTTCTCAATATCATAAACAATAATAGTTTTTGCGCTTTTAAAGGAATGCGATACCATGTAGAAGCAAATCTGCATATCATTCTATCATTTAATATATTTCAGCAATATCGTTATATTTTTAACGTAACAAATTGATAAAATATGAATTATCTAAACGATAAAGATGTAAATAATAATATCAAGTATTCGAACTTACAATTCGTTAAATATGCTAAGATTACTGTCAATAATTAATTGTCCATAATGATTATTGTAAAATGCGATCATTAAATGATAGATAACTACAAGAGCAGAACCGGAGATTTCTATTGGATTGTCCATAGTTATTATTGCGTTATATAGCTATGCAACAATCCAAAAATATATTTAGTTTCATATTTTCAGTAGCAATCTAGAGAATGCAATTTTAGTAAAAGATACAAGGGACATATTATGTTAAACGACATCCTTATATACTTGGTATGAAAATGATAGATATTTGTATACTTCAATAGTGTACAACTTTTCATATAAAAAGTAAAGAGACAAAAATCAAAAATTTAATAAAAAGAATTATAAAAATTCATTCAGAAAATAAAGAAAACTACCATTGAAATCATCAACCAAATTATTCTTATTTTTCTCAACATCTCAATTAATTATCGAGATATAAGGACTTAAAATTTCCATTACATTTAATGTAGCGTAGAGTTTATGAATGTGACCGAATTTTTTTTCAATTATGTACTATGTATTTTCAAGGATGGCGTTTATTATTTGTCGAGAATTTGGAGTCGTAAGATGAAGTGCAAGCGAGAGATCCAAATAAGAGACAAAGAAATAAATAGTAAATGATAATCTCGCAAATTGGAAATTGTATCAGGATATATTACAAAGTGTTTTGATTAGAAGATTCCGCGATTTTAATGGTCTTCTATTCATCGAGAATTATCATCTTCGCAATTATAACGATTTAAATTTTTCATAATTTTAATAAAATCTAATCGAATTACAAATTAAATTCAGTTTACAGTGGCATATTGAAGATTCTAACACTAAAAAATTCTATGGTTGAAATAAGATGAATAAATCTTCATTAAAAATACTTACGCGATATAGATTTACAGAGAATGACAGTATGCATACAATAATTGCCATTAAATATTGCGTCGCTGTATTATTTGTGGCTAAATTAATATGTCTTCCAAGTACAACGATATAAGATACGTGAAAAATTAATATTATTTAAAAATTTGTAATTATTATTATTTATCATAATATTTTAATTTACCAACTCGATAGCGTGGCAATGAATGTCCACTACTCGATGTATGTCTGTAAGTTTCAAGTCTATCTTAGACAGATTGGGTATACTGAGATCTTCAATTATCTTTCGTATTCGATAACTAAAAAAAATTTAGAATACTGACATGGATAAAAAGATATGCAACATAATGAAGTAATTTACCTGGCGATATTAAATCGTCTGCATATATAATAACTAAAAATATTAAGTGACAACTCTGTACTCATTATAGATAATAATCCGAATGACAGAATTAACATGAAATTTAAGATTAGAAAGATTTTAATATAGGCGCTTTGATCGCCGAAAATAAATGAAACATTGAAATGAGTGCGAGATTCGTTTAAAGGCATTATTATATCCAGTGTTATAGGAATCAGTAGAAATATGATGAACGCTGCAACAGCAATAAAACTCACACCTAGAATTTCAAAATATTATTAAATATTTCAAAATTATACATAAATAATTCTGTATTTTTAAAATCATTTTTATTTTGAGGAAAAAATTGTAATATTTTTAAAAAAAGTTATAATGAAAAACAAGAAAATAATTATAAAAATTAATATATTGAAAACTGTAAAATGTTGTACAATATTTTGAATAATTTTATATGATATTATTTTTTTATAATAGATACACAATTATATTTAAGTAGTCATGATGAAAATGAAAGTTATTTATATTTGACGAATTAATGTGCATAAAGTGATTTCTTACAGCAAAAAATATCGATAATATGACTTGAAATATCGAGGTATTTCGTTTGTATTTGTATTTCTATCGAATCTTGTAACTCATGTTCTTCTGCAGATATGTTATCGAACAGAATTTCTGCCTGTACAAAAATAGACAGTACATATGTATAAATGTTCAGTAATATAAATAATTTTTCACGAATTTCACTTACGTATGAAAACAGTGTAATAAAATGAAGATATCGTAAAAAAAATAGCAGTACAGGAAAAATCTGAGATAACGTGATAACGCAATTTTGTAATGTAATTTCAGATTTTACGAGCAGGATAATCTGAAAAATTATATTCGTTAAATTACAATTAAATGTTAAACAAGAAAATATTTTTTTAATCATATTTTTTGATTATTTAAATAAAATATTTTTTTAAGTATTATGGAAAATAAAATATTTTAAATTTATCTATAATATTCTCAAGTTAATGTATTCAATTTTTGGATTAGCATGTACAAATTACTATTATCGATAAAAAATAATCAAAATTTTATTACCTGAAATATTATACTGATAAGAAAGTACGTTAATAAAGACAATCTCTGAATCCGTACGTAGATTGAATTGTCGTATGGCCATAGTCCTATAGTTTTCAATATAATACGATAAGTACGATACTGATTGTCGAACACATTCATTGCTCTGGCCAAATATTAACTGTCACGTAAAATTCGAAGAATCATCCGTCTATACCTCGGTTCAATATATTATTCACATTATTATTTCTCTATCTCAAATTCTACAGTGTACTCTTTTTGTACTTATAGACTGTTATACGTGAAAATTATAGTAAATTGCATTCGATCGATTTTCTTCGCACTCATTACTAAACGATCACTATTTCATAACAGATTTTCATTTATATATTTTCTTGACTTTTTTCGTATTTTTCTATTTTTCGAATTGAAAGAATAGAAGCTTTGTCAGTAATCTTCGTGAGTTACTCACGACACTATTCCTTGTGTAATGTTAAAATGTTAAAATATTAAAATGTGAAGAATTATAATAGAAAAAAAAAAAAAAAAAGTGGAATAGTTTTACGTGATACATAATAAGACAGAACATTATGCCAGAAAGAGTTTAAACTAATCCTGCGGTAAAAATTTATTTCCATATATTATTGCAACAATCAATATTTTATTAACTGTAAAAAAACGATTAATAGATTTATGAAATACAACATTATTTTGTTTAAATTTTATTATTCAAATTGTTTGTGCTTATATTTAAAAATATCCATTTTTCAAATATCCATTATTCATATCTACGCGTATAACAATATCATATAATTGCAATACTTATACTGAAGTAAAATGCCAGCAATATTCGAGAATATTTATTGAATTGAATATATAACGGCACAATAGGAGAAGGATGAACTCATCATCTGCAATATTACAATAGTTAAAAGTGTTGAAATTCAAAATCATGTTGTATAACAAAAAAAGAAGAGAAATTACCGACGTAAAGCCTGCATAAGACGGAGTGAATAAACCAGAAAGACATAACTCGCAATCCATTGAGCTTCTCAATATCATAAACAATAATAGTTTTTGCGCTTTTAAAGGAATGCGATACCATGTAGAAGCAAATCTGCGTATCATTCTATCATTTAATATATTTTGGCAATATCGTTATATTTTTAGTATTAATAAAATATGAATTATCTAAACGATATAGATGTAAATAATAATATCAATTATTCGAACTTACAATTCGTTAAATATGCCAAGATTACTGTCAATAATTAATTGTCCATAATGATTATTGTAAAATGCGATCATTAAATGATAGATAACTATAAGAGCAGAAATGAAGATTTCTTTTCGATTGTCCATAGTTATTATTGCGGTATATAGCTATGAAACGATCCAAAAATATATTTAGTTTCATATTTTCAATTTCAGTACGTAATCTAGAGGATATTGCGATTATTTCACAACTGACATACAAAATATACACTATATTATGCTAAATATGTCATTCCTATACTTCATACTAGAATGATAGGTTGTTACATATCTTTTGTAAAAGGCATGAAAAGAAATTAAAAATTTTATGTATTTCCGAATAACATTTTTTTTTCAAGAATTGCGTACTATGTTTTTTCAATAATGGCGTTTATAATTTATCGAGAATTTGAAATAATAAAATGAAGTGCGAGAAGTCTGAATAGATGACAAAAAAATAAATAGTAAACGATAATTTTGCAAATTGAAAACTTTATCAGGATATATTAATAAGTGTTTTGAATTACAAGATTCCGCGGTTTTAGTGATCTTTTATTCATCGAGAATTATCACCTTCGCAATTATAACGATTTAAATTTTTCATAATTTTAATAAAATTTAATTGAATTACAAATTAAATTCAGCTTACAGAAGTATATTGAAGATTCTAACACGTAAGAAATTCTATGATTGAAATAAGATGAATAAATCTTCATTAAAAAATTTAATTTAATTTTAATTAGACTTACGCGATAGAGATTTACAGAGAATGACAGTATGCATACAATAATTGCCATTAGATATTGCGTCGCTGTATTATTTGTGGCTAAATTAATATGTCTTCCAAGTACAATGATATAAGATACGTGAAAAATTAATATTATTTAAAAATTTGTAATTATTATTATTTACCATAATATTTTAATTTACCAACTCGATAGCGTGGCAATGAATGTCCACTACGCGATGTATGTCCTTAAGTTTCAAGTCTATCTTAGGCAGATTGGGCATACTGAGATCCTCAATTATCTTTCGTATTCGATAACTAAAAAAAATTCAGAATATTGACATGGATAAAAATATGTGCAACATAATGAAGTAACTTACCTGACGATATTAAATCGTCTGCATATATAGTAACTAAAAATATTAGTTAACGATTCTGTACTCGTTATAGATAATAATCCGAATAATAGATTTAACACGAAATTTAAGATCAAAAATATTTTAATATAGGCGTTTTGATCGCCGAAAATGAATGAAACGTTGAAATGAGTGCGAGATTCGTTTAAAGGCATCATTATATCCAGTATTACAGGATTCACTAGGAATATGATAGTCGCTGCAATAAAAGCGAAAGACACGCCTAGAATTTGAAAGTGTTATTTAATATTTCAGAGTTACAAATAAATAATGTCGTATTTTTTAAATTGTTTTTATTTTGAAGAAAAAATTGTAATATTTTCAGGAAAATGTTATATAATAAAAAGCGAGAGAGTAATTATAAAAATTAATTAAAATATTGAAAATTGTAAAATATTGTAAAATATTTCTTAATATCTTTATTTGATAAGATACTCTTTTAAAGATACTCTTTTATAATTTAATTTAATCTTTTTTAATTTATAATAGATATATAATTATATTTGAATAGTCATGATGACAACGAAAGTTATTGATATTTTACGGATTAACGTGCATAAAGTTATTTCTTACAACAAAAAATATGGATGATGTGACTAGAAATATCGAGATATTTCGTTTGTATTTGTATTTCTGTCGTGTCTTGTAACAGATGTTCTTCTGTACGGATGTAATCGAATAAATATTGTAGCTGTACAAAAATAGAAACGTACATATGTATAAATGTTCAATAATTTAAATAATTTTATTTTTTGAATTTCACTTACGTATGGAAAAATTGTAATATAATAAATATATCGTAAAAAAAATAGCAGTAAAGGAAACGTCGCAGACAACGTAACAACATAATTTTCTAATGTAATTTCAGATTTTAGAAGCACGATAATCTAAAAAATTTAATTTATTATATTTAAATTACGATTAAACATGAGAAAAGAATATTTTTATAATCTTTAAATACTAAGGAAAATAATTTTTTTAATATATTTATTAATTTATTTCATTATTTAAGTAAAATAATTTTTCTAATATTATTGTACAAAATAAAGTATTTTAAATTTATCTATAATATTCTGATAATAATATAATTAGCAATTTTTGGATCAATGTTGAAAGAAATGTATAAAATTACTAATGGTAAGAAATAATAATGGAATATCTATTACCTGAAATATTATACCGATAAGAAAATACAGTAATAAACATGTTCTCTGAATCCATACGTAAATTGATTTATCGTATGGCCACAGTCCTACAATTTTCAATATTGTACGATAGATACGATATTGTTTGTCGAAAACATCCATGTTCCTGGTTAGATGTCGACTGCAATGTAGAATTCGAAAGATAATTTGACTACATCTCGACTTAATGTATTATTTACACGATTATTTTTCCGTCTTGTATTTTCATAATATAGCCTGTCTATAGTAACAGACTATATAATGTCCAATAATTACGATAAATTGCAATCGATTGACTTTATTCGCACCCTTTGCAAAAGGGTTTTTTCATAATAAACATTGATTTTAAAAATTTTAATCAATATAAAATCCTCGAGTGTCTTTTCTTTGTATTGTCTTTTTTGTCATTCTTTTTTTTTCTACATATTAAAGTTCTTGATGATGAGTAGTATCTTCCGATTACTTCCGAAGATAATATTTTGCTATATTTACATTCTTTGTGTCGTTATTTTGTTCAATGAAAAAATGATAAAAATTGTTTGCATTAATTGTATTAATTTAACAATATTAATTGTGTTGTATATTGTCCTCATATATGTTATAATATAATATTTTAATTAATATTTTAAATTGTTGTTTGTAGAAATTATCTTTAACAAGAAATTTTGTTTTTAGGAGAATAATGCGACGTGTAACGTGAACGAAATATTTATAAACGATGGTTTATAAATATAATTTGATTTTGTTATTATTGAGATAAATTTGTGACGAATAACTAGCTAATTGTAACAAGATAATTGGAGAGAAGATATTTATGAAACTTTTGCTTGAAGAAATAAGCATAAAGCGGATAAATAATATACAACAAGGATCAATTGCATCGAGATGGAAGGAATTCAGGTATTTATCGTTTTTTAATAATACTTCAAAGACAAAAAAAAAAGCGGGAAAAAATCTCATTATCTTCTTAATATTAGAAACTTCGAACATAATTTATGAAACATGGAAATGTAGAAATATTTTTATAAAACGTAATCACAAATTTAAAGAAAAAATTGTTTCTAACCGTTAAACATTTTACAAGAATATCAATTACAAAAAGAAAATAAAAAAATATCTCTTCAATGTATCTTGCATAAGAAATAATAATCGCGCAAAGAAAAATTCTTGGTAATTTTTCGAATTCTAATCAAATCTCGAAAACGAATAAAACATGAAAAATTGCACAATGCAACATTATCATTCTAAAGAATAAAAACGTGGGACACGCGTATATAAACGCAGTTTTGCGTCCACAAAACCGGCGTCCATTATTCCCCGATCAATCCAATATTTTACACTCATTATTCTACGCACGTGGGAAAAAACGTTTCATTTTATACATCACCGATCTCGAAAGGGTACGACGATGGCAGGAACACGAATCATCGTGCCTTAAACTCGACGCGAGTAGGCGTATCTATATCGATACTTGTGCCATGACACTCCTTTCAAAAAGACCCTCGAGGGGTTCAATCGAGAGGCTGATCCTTTGTATTTTACACGGCGCGAGGATGTAATTTTTCTTCTTAACGACCGCTCGATTGTTGTCTCCACCGACGTTCCTGCAACGACGGTGTTTCAGTTTTTTTTTTTACACGCGACATCCGCGAGGAATCGAACTTACAGATATTTCACAGGTATCCTGATTTACGTACGCAATATTCGTGGTGGAAGCTCCAATTAATCGATTTTATATATATATATATATAAATTTTTTTTTCATAATTTTGTTTTCCATTATTCGATCGGCACGATTTATGACTTGGAAGATCGTAGAAAACTAAAAAACGTGTAATTGATGAAAGTTGAAATTATAATCCAAATATCGAGCAGACATAGACGTGTATGGAATAATACATTTCAATTTGTCAATGATTCTTTTGAAACTGTGTGTACAAAATATTTGCAACGTTCGAAAACAAAAATTTCGAAAAACCGGATCGCGAATAAGATCAGAAATTATTCTTCCTTACTTAATTTCTATATCGCTCTCATAAATAATAATAATAAGAAGGAAACATAATGGGGGCAAACAAAATTCTTACATTTGGCCAAAATGTTGCTCTCGAAAATCGACTTGCGACTTGGGTCCTCAATCATCACCTCAAACTCTACCCTCATCGTAATTTCATCTCTTAAAAATAACACTTTTCCTCGTGAAACCTCCTTCATTATTCCCCGAAGTACGAAAGAGATAGCGATTCCCTCTACCCGTCCACCGTTTCATATGTGAATCGTGATGCCAAACCGACTGACACACACACATACACACGCACGCACACGCAATATTTAAGCATTAACTGGCGAGCACAAGTTCATTATCCGTGTGATGCTTCTCATTGAGCCACTCGGCCGGATTATCGCCCGACTAATTTGCGAACATAAAGGAAACTGACGCGCAATTTCATCGTCCGCGTCGAATAGGGCCTGATGACGGGTTTCGAGAGTAGTAGTCTTGATTAAAGTCAAGGCGAGGAGGGGGCGAGGAGGATTAGTCGTCGATGACTCGACTTCTCTCCACTTTCGATCTCTTCTTCCTCTTTCGATGGCCGGGCCATCCGAGGAGGGATTCATAAAGGAAAACGATGACTTTGCTAATTACAGTGCGCTCGTTGGATAAGAACGGTTTGGGAATCGGTGATGTTGTACGGTAACTCGCCCGATTAGCTCGTAACCTTAATTGTGGCCAAGGATTTGACGTGATCCTGATTAACCTTTTCAAACTGTTTGATAAATACGTATCAGAGACGATGTTCGGAGATTAAGAGATTCGTGGAGTTAAAGATTAATTGGGAGTTGGACAAGGATGACACTCTAACTCTAAACGGTTGAATTTTGAAAAAGTGAAGCTGAAATTTAGCTTATTATCTATTATTTTAATTTTTGAATTTTTTTTTTGAGGAGGGGGATAAAATTGGGCCTGTTAGAAATCTTGTTGGAAGTTTGTTTTAATAAATATTGTGTCCTGAAGTAGTTGTCTAGTTAAGTATTTATATTGTTATAGGAAACGTTTAAACAATTATAATTCAATTTATGTAAAGGCAGTATATGCAATCAGATATTTATAATTTTGAAAAGAAAACGATAAATAAGTTTGATATTTCTAGCTTACTTGTAAGAATTATTATATAAGTTCGATTATGTATCCATCGGAGCAACAATTTATCTTCACAAAGATAATAACAAATACTTTCCCATTGAAAATTACCACTTTTGTCTCAACATTTAATCTCAATTTACAGGATCCTAGGTAAACTTTGGAACCTGATTGACCTGATTTAATAAGAAATGTACAAAAAACTTTCGATTTCTTTAATGAAACGTTCCTTCCTTTCGAGACGAAACACGCAAGACATTGGTGGACGTGGAAAAAGGAAAGATATTTTTAGATTCGTCGGTTCGTGATTTTATTCGTGAAACGGGCGTACAATCGGAGGCGGCAAGGTCGACTATTCAATGGCAGTAGGTGTCTCCGGAGAACGGCGAGCGAAAACAAGTTGGCCTGTTTAAAAAGGCGTGCCTGGACCATGGCTGGCCACAAAGGCGCCGAAAACGGCTGCTCTTCTATGGAAAGGGACTTCATTAAAAATGCACCGGCAACTTCGGTGCACGCACTGTCTCCAGGAACAATGCGTGCACGAAATATGCGGACTGGCGTCAAGAGGATCGAACGAATGCGTAAGGAGAAGCGTTTGCTTTTATGGTATATCGAGGATAAAGTTGAATTTTATGCAAATATCAGGTTGTCCTATAAAAATTTTTCACTTTCGAAACCTTCGCGATTTCATTTTTTTTATCTGAAATAATGATCGAGACGTATCATGCTCGTTTGATTTAATGATATTTTGTTATTTGTAAAATTGTATTCGAATCTTGATCGTGGGACAATCTAATAACTTCTTTTTTATATAAATAAATCGAATAAATGGAATCTATATAGTTTATTTCTCTTCTCGTAAATTAGGTTACGTCGAGATGATCAGCAATTACTCGATTAACAATTATACGATTTATCAACGTTGTTTGGCTGACACAATTTTCCAATTTACGATTATTTCGTTGCAACTTTATCTATACCGTTACATCATTCAATCATAGATGAGGTGAGTTTTTCTCATTTATCTATAACATCTATGTTAATTTTAATAATTTTTCCAATATATTATCTCATCCATTTTTTAATATCGTTATTAATATTTCTTAATAACAACTAATCCTATTACTTACAATATTAAAAATAAAACGAGGCTAAAATTCGCTTCAATTTTGCGTCAAAATTTTCTTCCAACAAACGAAATTCAGATAAACTCGTTCACTCGTACGGTGAGTTCTCAATAGTTCAACAATAAGCATGTGTTCCCGGATTCGATGTAGGTAGCCCCCGATTCCGTGCGTGTGGACCCCGCCTAGCACATAATGCGACGCGGTATTTCGTTTTAACCCGCGATGCAGTTAGGGAGCCAGGTCTTCCTCGTCGAATTTATCGCCCGTCCGAATCGCGGACCAGTCCATATAACCCGTTCACGATCGGTTCCCACCTTGAGAAGAGAGAGAGAGAGAGAGAGAGAGAGAAAGATATCTATATATATATATATGTCCAAAAGGAAGAAACGGTGTTTCTCGTCTCTCCTTCCACCCTTTCTATCCACGTTGCTCTCTCATCGCACACACACACGCACAGACCGAAAGCACTGTTTTCATTCTTTTATAAATCTTGCAGAGGGTAATATATATCGGCGTATTCACGGGTGTATTCACTCGCGGCCGCGTTTCATGCGGCCGTATCCTTTTTGCATACGCGCCCGCATTGAAATTGATTTCGGCCAGGCCGATGGGGTGCGCTTCGACGGCCACCGGAAAGATTAATACTCGCCCTCTTTCGCTCCCTGTTTTTTTTTTAATCAGGACTTGTTGTTCAGGGCAACGCGTGGAAAAGCACACTTTACATTTACGCGTTTAGAACATTTCTTGATTAATTGGCGAATCAATCAGGTGATGCTGAAGCGAACAGTCTAAGTTTCAATACAACATAAAATCCTAATAAATTTTCTAAAATTCGATCTACGTTCATATGTACATTTTTTAATTAACGTTTAAACGATGTGTTTGAATTATCTCGACAAAAAGAGTTCGTTGTTTGCCAGATCTACTTTTCAGAGCAATTTTGAACTTAACGTTCGTGGATTTTTTTGGTAGGATTAAGTTTCAAGATGAAATTGAAAAGAGAGGTTTCAATAATTTTAATTGGAAACATGACGAAAATAAACTAATAACTGCAACAATTGTTCCTTCTTTCGTTTTGAGAATAATATCAATTTTTTTCTATGGAACGATCTGTAATCAGAACTGTATCAGACTTTATGATTCTATCACAGCCACGATCCAGTCGAATATTGCAGATCGGTGTTCAATCCATGGTCACGTTCTAAGATATCGGATAACCCAAACAGTGTCCTTTTTTCTTCACTTCACTTTGTTTCTTCAATTAAAATTTTGCTTTCAAAAATAACTTTTATATTTGCTTCTTTAAATCGAATACGTGTATTGCAGATACGCGTTGATATATTTTTAATCCTCACAATACACGTGTATTTACTACGATCCATATAAATATTTCGATACATTAAAAAGTTGATTGTTTAATACATTATTTTAGATATAAAAATTTTTAACTTTTTTCAAATCATTGATAAATATACATACAACGATATCACGGCAAATTATTTGCCGTGACAAATGAGAGGATATTTTTGACGATTGCGATGAAAGCAAAATTCGATATTTTTTTCGGGCGATAGTCTCTCGTTATACTCGTGCTTGCAAAGCGGTTTTTCAGAGAGAAAATCGTTCCGCCAGGAAACCGCTGACTAAACGTTTGAATTTCAATAGAAATAACGGTTTAATTTTAATGGAACAAACTTGTTTGACAAAATGTTCTTTCTTTCATCGTTTCGAACGAGAATCTATCACATAGCCTCGAACGTTTATTTTGATGCTATGAAATTATATATTCCGTTCTATATTCGATTACAAGCGAACAAAGTAGAAGATTTATTGATTGTGTCGCACGATTGAAAAATAAAGAAGGAAAAAAAATTTTTCGACAGAGATTCCTCGAAAGGAAGAGAGGAAATATATATAATCATCCGAGGAAGGAAGTTGGAGAATGTAACGCACGAAGAAGAGAATTGCACAGGTGTGAAATATTATCCAGGAATTTTGGCAAGAACAACAGAGCAATTTACGTGCACGAGTTTGCAGCTCGGTGAAGTGACTAATACTCCTCCAAACTTATCCGTTTAGGAATCCACCATAAATAGTTGAGGTTGGCACAGATCAGGAAAATGTTTGACGCCCTATTATCCACGCCAGGAATCGAAATCCTCCAGAAATATTTCTCTCAAGGAGTTAAATATTCGAAGCTTAAATCTCGAATTCCTTTTTTGGCCAACACGTTTTCGTATTCTCATTGAACTTTTTCACCTTAATTCGCAGAATCTATCGAATGGAAGAAAATCTCCTCCTCATTTTTAAATAAAACAAAATATATATTGTAATTTCAATTTTTAATATTTTAAATAAACCGTGTTTATTTTAGTGTGTCTATTCAGACTTAAATCAGTTTAACAGATTTAATTTGAACGAAGGAAAGAAAAAAAGAAAAAAAAATAATAATAATCTAGATTCAAAATATGCTCTTACATTTATCGCGCATTCGATTCACAAATACGAAGTTCCAAAAAACGATTCCAAACTTTCCCCAGACACATAACAAAGCAACCCTCCTCCCCCTCCATTCATTAAAAAACGGGTGTCTTCGCACAGCTGGGAACCTATAGGCACGAATCCAGTCACGGTGGTTGATACGGCAACTTATCCACTTAGGAATACGCCCCCTAATACCGGAGGGATGGTCATGCTGGGGTGAGAATCGGTTGGGCGGTTTGGAGAGTTTCGCAGAAGTAACGGTGGCTGTTACCAAGTTGGGATAAACCGAGCTAAGTTCTCCTGGCTGGCGCTATTGGTTGCCTACCGACGAAAACGAAGTTTATTCTCTCCCTCTCTTCTCGTTCCACTTCCAAGGAATGATCCAAAGGACACCGATTTACATAACGATTGGGTTAATTAACGGGGAAGAGGATGTAACAATTGAATTGTTAATCGAAAGGATACCTCGAATATTTGGGACAATCGTCATCGACGACACATTTTGGAAATTAAAAATTAAGATGAGTTTCCTAATCGAGGTCTAACGGATTGAATTCGATGTTTAAGGATGTTGAAATGTTTGGAACGTTAACGAGGTGTTTATGGTAGGCCAATATGGGAGGAGTTGTCGAGTTGGGAGATGGATCGAAATTTGTGCATCTTGGGTGTGCTTGTTTTTGCCTGTTTTGTCAAGGTGCGATAACATGTTTCGTACATGTTTGTTGCGACGTTAAGGAAATATTTTTGAAGAGAGAATAATTTGTTATTGGTGTTAATAAGAAAAAAGAATTAAAAGGAAAAGAGTATTATTTCTATGGAAATAATATTTGCTAATATTATTTATGTGATAATAAATCTACAAAAAAATAAATAAAATGGACGACGACGCGTAAATTATAAAATAATTTAACGAGCCAATACTCGTTTCTCGATATTAGCGAAACGAGAATAATAGTCAGTGTATATTATATCGAGGAATTTTTCATTTATCAACCGGGTGAAAGAGCAAACGTCGACAAAAGAATGTTGATATTAATATCGCCATAGAGGCAAAAGGTACGCGAGGAGGATAATACTATTTTTTATTACAGAAGAGTGAACTAGGAGGAATAAAAAATTTTGAATTGAATATCAATCGCTGTACGCATCGTTTCTTTTTTTTTTTTTTACTACGTATTTAATATTCTATTCTATGAAACAATATCTTTGTATCCCGCATATTGACATATTTAATTCGTTTAAAAAAAACTTTTTTTTGAACTCGTTCGGGAATAATGCCTACTTTTATTTTCAATTAATATTTTTTTTAAAAATAAAAAAAAGAAATTAAATTCACGATACCAAATATTCTCTAATAATCCATTCACGTAAACGCAAAATATAATTTCTTTTCATCTTTTGCCAAACTTTTTTCAACCATTACGCCATAAATAATCGAGAAGCAAATTTCAATCAGCAAGAATCATCTTTTCTTCTCCGAAAGAGAAAATTTTGTAAAAAAAAGAAACGCGTCAGAATATATTCTTCCCCTTTTTGTTTCAAATCGATACGACCCCGTCCCCGTCCCCGAGATATAGCCCCGATATTTCCAAACGAAATATGATAATTTTTCCCTTTCGTTTACGTTTCTTTCTCGCTCCACTCTCGCTACTCGCTGTCACTATGACCTATCCCAACCACAGGCGCCCTTGCCCTGGTCAACGGCAGACGCTGAATCAGCACTTTTTTCCCCCTCCCCACTATGCACTACCATTACTACGCGATATACGCTATTTCAGGAAACAATATAGGTCACGCGATTTTCGTCCGCCATTCAGAAATCTTAGCACGCTTCCAATATTAAACGCTTCCATCCTATATCCGGGCAAATTGTTAATTCGAGACAATTCGATTTGAAACGAAGAAGAAACGTTTCTCCTGGACATTTGTTTCTTCCTCCCTCCTACAAATATTCAATTCTTTACTTCGATTCTTTTTTCTCGATATCGAATTTAAATAAACGGATGGTATTTTTCCTTTTAAATTTGAATTTTTTTTCTTTGACGCGTCCCAACTGGCAAGTTTCACGCCCAACGGAATAATTCATCGCGGAATCATTTTGTCGAATCGTATCTTAATCTAAAAGAAATATATTTTAGAAGGAATATTATAATAATAATAATAATAATAAAAAACTGGATATTTTTACGTATTCTACGATACAAAAGTTCTCGATGATATGATTTCCCGGCGAGAATTAATCCGACAGCCGTGTAAAATATAGAAGATTGAAGATTGTACCCCCGACCTGGGATTAGGATTTAAAGCGTTTCAACGCGGCTGCTGCTCCCTGCAGATAAGATTTTCATTGTCCGTCAAGGTCGTGGAATATTTGTTCGATCCCTCCTTCCTTCCCTTGAACGGTCTCGATTCTCAAAGGATTACCTTGAATCCCCGTGGGAACTCTCCCAGGGACGAACTCTCCCCGTGAACCCCCTTGTTTTTCTTATTTCTATTTGCTCATTCCTGCCTCTCGCATTCTGTCAACGACTTCGCGTAATATATCTTGGCCTCTTTGTTCAAGATTGAACGTTCATATCGCCCTCCCCGTTCCGTAAAAACTTGGCACGAAAATGTTACTATACTCGATAAAAATTTTACCACCTTTGAAACGTCAATCATCACTCTCCTCCATTTGCTTTTATTAATCACGATTTTTATTCTTCTCTCTGCTTTCGAATTCTATTTATACGTAAGAATTCGATGAATTCGAGTATATTCGTAGGTTCTCAGAATTAAAAAAAAAAAAAAAAACTTACTTATATTCCTAAGATATTCCACTTCCTTCCAAAATAGCTGCTCAAAATTGTCGATTCGAGGATTTTGGAGGATGATCGGACTGTCTCGACACCCGATTCACTTCTCCTTTGAATAGCGACGCCTTACGGCCATCGACCAAAGAGTAAACACATTTCCACGAAGTTTGGAGGAAAGGAAAAATCGTCATCGTGGATTTAAACGCACGAATTTCCGTTCGATAAAATTGCTTTGGACGAGCGCGTGCTGACGTGAAAGACTTTTATAAATCAATGATCGCGCCGATTTATTCGAAAAAATAAAACTTCGCATACTTCATATGAATTACTACTACATACTACTACATACAAATTACTACTTCATACTATTACATACGAAAATTAAATTTAAAATAAATTCTAAAAATTAAAAATATATATACTCGTTCTAAAATATATATTTATAAATGTCGTTTCAACTAGTATCCAGAAATTCTGGATTCACGATTTCGAGATAGATACTCTTCAACTTAACCGTTTATAGAATAATTTGTATTCGATTGGATGAGAATGGGGAAGTAGAATTAGGTACTCACGATATCGAAGTCGAGGTTCTCGGCTATCCAGTCCCGGCCTTGCTTGAATTCGTCGTGAAGGCCCATGATGTACAGAGTGTCGAGGCCATCGACGATGGTCGCCCCCATGTTCGACGCGCCGAAGATGCTTGCGCTGTGACCCCTCTTCGAGATCGGTCTCAGCTCGTTCTTCCCCCAGGCGTATCTCACGTAGTTGTCCCAGCCATGTTTCATCATCTGTGCGCATAAAACGAGTACACGGAATCAGATTAATATATATTATCCTTATTTTAAGAACGATTTATCGCGCGTGAATATTCGTTCGTTCTTCGAGGTGTTTAAGAATTTGAGAATTTTAAAAAAATTGTGAGGATTTGTTGTTATTATTATTATATTGTAACAAGTATATAAAAGAAACTTTTATCGAGAGGATTAAACCTTTATATTATTATTTTTTAAAACAATTCTCTTTTCGTCTTCTCTTCCATTCATTTCGTTTCGTATGAAAATGTTGTATTTATATTTTTTAATTATTATTCGTATTCTGATTTTCTATCAGAGCAGTTTTTCTTCGATCGAAAATAAAATTTCGATTAACCGACAATTCGATTCTGAATCGAAGTGGAATCGAATAGCAATAATATTACATCGAATTGAAAATTGAAATTTTAATGCAGAGATTGTCGTCATTTTGAATTTTTTCTTCTTTGTATTTTTAAATTCTACAGGTGTCTACAGCCGCAACGCGATTGTTAATATTTTAAGAGAAGTTACGAGCGGACGTGGTTATAGCCGGGTAGATTGCATCGTGCACGCGTATTCACCTGGGTAATTACGTGGAGAAATAAGTTTCCGTGTGAAGAGCAGGAAAAACTGATGTGTGGCGAGTCAAAGACACCATCAACTCCTCCAAGTGATTCACTTCAGCCAACTTCCTTTTCTCCTCTTTGCGCTTTCTTGCGAAGAAAAACGCGCTTCCGTTTTGCTCGCCTGCGTTTTCATCCTTAAAACGCACGTGCCGCGCTCGTTCTGAGATTTTTCCAAGAAAAATAACTCGTTTCGATTTGTTGATCTCGAAACGAAAATCGTTCTCTCTTTCTTATTATTATTGTTATTATATTTTTTTATCAGCAAGATTAAAACTTGGAGAAGAAACCATTATACAAAATACTTGATTTAAAAAGGGAAGAGAAATTTCTTTTCGAAAGATTTTCGAAAATTCTAAGCAAATTTCAATAATAATGATTATTTCTAAAGAGAACTCAAATTTCCCTAATTGAAACCGAAACCACGATCGATCGATTAATAATCACAAATTGAATTTGCGAAAATTCAAAACGTAAATGCAAAAACTATAAAGGCCTATCTAATTATCAAACAATCATGGCCACGTATCATCGCATTAAAACTCGATCAAAATCGTATTAAATCGAACCACCTCGTTCAAAATTACGTTCCATCCACCGTTACCATTGAGAGAGAAAAAAAAAAAAGAAAGTAACCACATAATACACTCTTTCGAAAGTTCATCGACGAACTTAGCTGCACTTGTTCTCGAATCCCTCTTTCCATCTTCATCCGTCATGAATATCGCGGCGTGAAAAAAAATCTCACCCCTTTCATCCTTCTCTCTATAGATTTATTGTTTTTTTTCTCTATCACTCTCTCTCTCTCTCTTTCTCTCTCTTTTTTATAACCACGATGACCGCAGAGAGAAGGACTCACTTCTGTTGGTGCCACCGGCCAGGGCTCACAGATATTATACTGGCCCTGAATTATACCGCCATAAAAACGTGATGAAGCGGCTGCGGACTGGCAGAGGCCGGCAAATGGCTCGAAAAATCAAAGAGAACGGGAATAATGGTCAACGAACGACTGGACAGGCTAATATATTCGTTTTTCTCGGTACGATCCGCGTAGCTCACACCAAGGATCTATTATTTCTGTCCGGATCGACACGTTTCATCAATCTTTTCCGCCAGTTTCTTGATAATTTCTTTCCTCGTTCTTCGTATTTTCAGAAATTTCTTTTTTTTTTTGTTACAGAGGGAGGGTAATGTCAAAGATTAAATGTGTATTTTCTCTATAGTCCTTGATGTAATTATAAATCTTTCAGGAAAAAGTTTCATGTAAAAGTTTTGAAAAGAAAAAAAAAATAAATAAATAAAAATGGAACTTTAAATATTGAAATTGCGTTGGAGAGAATGAAGAAATATAGATGAAATATTATTTCTAAAAAAGAAAGCACATTCGAGTTGTTTTTAATAATCTTAATATTTTCATTTTCAAAGAAATTTATAATGGTGGAGTAGTAGTTGGAATTGGAAATTGGAAATTGTAAATGGAAGGAGGGGTACAAGAGATATGGAATAATTATGAACATTCGCAACAGCCAGAGATTAAATTTCAGGCAGGTTAATAAGGTAACGCTTGGATTTAAATTCAGTTGTCGACGGAATTATCTCTCTTTAAAAAAAAAAAAAAAAAACGTGAAAGACGTGGAACGTTGACAAAATGTGATTCGATTATTGAAATTAACGGATGAATTTTTCTCTTTCGAAAAATCCACGTTCAACGATAGTTTATAAACTTATAAATTCGTTTTTCAATCCCATTCTCAGATCAAAATTAATTTTTCTTTCAGGGGGGAAAAATTTCCAATATTCCCCTCTCTATGTAATTTCCAATTTACATCGATCAAGATAGTTCCTAAAAGATTTAATTGACAGATCAAAAGTTAATCAATCCCTTTGACGGGTAGCTACATACCGATATACCTCGATACACGATACGAATTATCGCGAATTCAATCCTCTTGTATCAACGTTCGAGCCCAAAAATGTCCTTCAATTACAAATTAACTGATACATTTTTAAAACATTTCATTTCAACAAATTTATCAATTCAACATATTATTCGCAACAATTTTATCCGCGGAAAAATTATACCTTTAATATTCTTCTCTTTTCTCCCGTATAAAAATCCATATATAAAACTCGAACAAAGAATAAAACTCCCTCTCTTTTTAACTTTAAAAAAAAAAAAATAAAAATTATTCTCTTCTGCATTTTCTCGAAGAAGATTTCGACTCGATCTTTTTCAAAAAGATTCTTCGACAAAAATACAAGATGGATTCCACGGAACATTTAAAATTTTTTTTCGAAACGTATCGAGTTGTCACGTCCCCACGCCCTCGCCACCATTCACCACCGAGGCACGAAATCGAGGCAGCAATAATCCGTGGAGCGTGGAGGCCAAAGGAGGAGGAACAATCCTCGGGTCGAGAGGTTGGTGCCCCGGTACGAAGGGGAGCGACGTAGCAGAAAATTGCGGAGGGCAGCCATCGTGGCGCGAATCGCGACGTTCCACCCTTTTTGTCGTTATCCAGGTAATCGCGGCTAATTTGTTCTGGAGCGACCGCGCTGCCCTTCTCTCCCCCCTTTCGATGGTAATCTGGTTAACATCCGTGTTAGGATTAAACCATTAGCCCGGAAGGAAGGGCGAGTTTAGTGCGCGGTCTTGTTCGATTATTTCTTCCCCGTTAAGGGATTTCCCTTCTGGGATTCGTTTCCTTCTTTTTTCTTTCGAAGAACCAACGATTCGTACGTGGAATTTCCTGGAAATATTTTCATTATATCGTTATCGTTATTGAATATCGTTGATCGAAATTATACTATACCGTGACATCTGCGACGTGTAACTTTAAAATTTCTTTGTTTTTTTTTTTGGTATTTATTTCATCACTCGATCGCGTCTTTCCTCCCGCGCCGCTTCGTGCCGTTTGTTTATTAATGGAAACGCGGTGCAGCGTTTCCTTGAAAAGAAATTTTTTTCTTTTCCAAGCTCGAAGAGGAGGAGGAGGAGGTGGAGGAGGAAGTGTGTTCCGTCGAGTGGCCCGTTGTTACGGAACCGGAGAGAAACCAACAGGGATTTATAAGGGTTTTTATACAGGGTGGCCTGGTGCACCAAAGTATCACGAGTTGTTTTCTCGTAAATTATTAGAAATACCGAGGTTTTTTCTTTATTTTCTTTCCTTTTTTTTTTTTTTTTTTAACTCTTCTAACCGTGAAAATCACGGATTCTATTTTGTTAATTTCCACGGAATTATTTGTAATTTATTCACTTTTTTTTTTTTTGTTTTCAAGTAAACGTTTAGTTAAAAGGCAGTTTGTTTAAACGTATAAAATATGAGGTTGATTCGTCTTGATGATACTTTTAAATGAATTGCAAGAAATCCTGATAATTGCAAACAAATGCACGATACAATAAAGTATAATCGAAAAAGTCTGTTCATTTAACTAACGCGCTAAACACAAGCGTTCAAATGCCGTTGCTAACAGATTATCTTGCCAAATAGAGCCTGTTTGACGTATCAACTAACGGTTGTTTACAGAGCTCGCGTTCCCTACAAATAATTGCACGTTGGTCCTATCCTGAACAGAGAAACGCTGTTTAATCCATTGCGTCGAAATTAATTGCCAATCCAATACGATCAACCACCCCTTCTACTTCTCCTCCAACGATAAAACGATAAGAAATTTCAAACGACAAGAAAAGGATAATTAAACGAAAGGAAAACACGTGTTATCCCTTTAATAATGTACATATACTTTTGCATGTATTTTATAAAAAATAGAGAATTTTAATTCGTTCCCTCGAAATTATTAAATTTTTGCCAAAAACTTTTGTTTTTGATATAAAAAAAAAAAAAAAAGAGAGATAATATACATTCTAAATTCTTTGAAGTAGATACGTTGCAAACGTTACATATCGTATATCTACATCTGTACACAGTTTGATTGCACACACTCCTCCCCTCCCTTCAATCTTAACTTCGAATATCATCCCGTTTCGATTTAACTTTTTAATAGTATTTCGATTCGTTGCTTCTATTTTCCACGTGCACTTCTCCTGTCCCACGCTCGCTTCGAGATCTAAACGGAGAAACGCGTCTCTCTATTTTCATTCGATTTTATTTCCTTTTTTTCTCTCTCTCTCTCTCCCTCTTCTCTCGTATCTTTCCACTACGTGTTGCGATTCGTCTCGTTTGCATACATAAATCACCTCTCCTCCAACCCTTTATCTCCACGTTCGAATTTATCTCCCCCAAACACCATTCTATATTCTTTCTTTATCGCGTATTTATCCCCGCTTCTTGTCCTTTCATTCCAGCTCCATTTCCATTCACTTCCTCCGTTTATCAACCCCTTTTTCCCTTCGTTTCCCCTCTATTAAAT